GGAGGAATCCGATGAGCTACTAAGTTCTTTGTTTTACAGATGTTCAGTAGAACGCAACCCCAAGCCGCGAAATTCAACGCTCCATCTCCTCAGTGGGACGCCTATCCACCGCGTTCTATCCACTGGCTTCTACTCCGTTGCAATTTTTGACCTCGTCAATGGGGAAATAATTATAATAAGGGAAATAATTTACATCCATTCGTCAATCCACTGCCGGATGAAGGACTCTCCACATGAGCTGTATAGCTCATTTTTCAGAAGCAATCTGGCCACAAATGGTAGCTCAAAGTAGGGGCTTATCATCACGTGGAAATGTATAGCATCCAAATACTCCAAACGCCTGACGTTGATTCTAAATGTGGAGGGAAACACCGGAGGACCCGGAGAAAGAAAAATCCACGCGACCACGGGGAGAGAGACACGCAAACTTCAAATATACAGGCGGGCAGGGTCGGGATCGAACCCACGATCTCCCGTAAACCGGGCGAGGTAGTTAACATCTCTGGCGGTGACGTATGACTCATCAAGCGCACCTGCTGGGAGATGGGGGTTGGTGGACCACGACGAGAGCGTGTGGGGAGACACTCACCTTCACGAATGGTTCAGAGCATGGGAGGGATAGAGGTTGTGTTAAAGACACTGTGGGCTTATGTTCTAGTCCGGGTATTCATCCAACTCGAACTTAAGCCGGGTCCTCATTTATAGCGAGTCGATGGTTTTCAGGCTTTCAACCCAGTAACGGATGACTTACACAATACACAAAGATCCTCCGTATAGCCTTAACAGACATTCGGGGCAAGTGCTGTTAGCGAGCAGCACCTATGAAGGCCGGCACGGTGGCGCACGTGGGATGGGTGGCCAGTACGCACACAATATCATGGCATCAAATTTGGTGTTTCTCTACGAATTGGCTGAACCCTCCTGCTCTGAGATGAGCGAAAAGTCTTGAGTGAGGACCGCCACTCGACGAACAACTCAACAGCCGCGCGTGTGACGGGCTCAAAGGCGACGCTTGCACGGACCTCAGGAGAGGTTCTGTGGGCGTCGTCTTCCGCGGATGAATTCTTAAACAACGCGCCAAACGTCCCGAGAGCGCTCAGACAGATAAATGTTGTCCGTCTCGCGACGCCGATAGCAGTCGTGACGTCGCCGACGACGTCGGCACAACTCCAACGATGGAATTTACCCGAGCGAAGGAGGGGAAGGCTTAGATGGGATGACGTCAATGTGCGTGCGATGATCCTGGGGGGGTTGGGAGTCGCGCCAGGGTGAGAAAGAGAGACGGCGGCAGAATAACATCAGAGACTCTGGAAATACCACGGGACGCAGACCCCCATTGCGCAATGCATTAAATAATCTGCACGCATTGGGATCACGCAAGCTTCACGCATCTGGCCGAAGACCCCCCCGGGGCCGGCCCAGGACACGCTGGCGGGACAACGTCGTTCATCTGGCTTGGAACTCCCTAGAAAGAGCTAGAGTCTGTGTAGCGTAGTGTATAGTGTAGTGTATAGTGTAGTGTATAGTAATGTAGAGCTTGAGTCTGTGTAGCGTAGTGTATAGTGTAGTGTATAGTGTAGTGTATAGTAGTGTAGAGCTTGAGTCTGTGTAGAGTAGTGTATAGTAATGTAGAGCTTGAGTCTGTGTAGCGTAGTGTATAGTGTAGTGTATAGTGTAGTGTATAGTGTAGTGTATAGTAGTGTAGAGCCTGAGTCTGTGTAGAGTAGTGTATAGTAATGTAGAGCTTGAGTCTGTGTAGAGTAGTGTGTAGTGTATAGTGTAGTGTATAGTGTAGTGTATAGTAATGTAGAGCTTGAGTCTGTGGAGAGTAGTGTATAGTGTAGTGTATAGTGTAGTGTATAGTAATGTAGAGCTTGAGTCTGTGTAGAGTAGTGTACAGTGAGGGAAAAAAGTATTTGATCCGCTGCTGATTTTGTACGTTTGCCCACTGACAAAGAAATGATCAGTCTAAATTTTAATGGTAGGTTTATTTGAACAGTGAGAGACAGAATAAGAACAAAAACATCCAGTAAAACGCATGTCAAAAATGTTAGAAATTGATTGGCATTTTAATGAGGGAAATCAGTTTTTGACCCCTCTGCATAACATGACTTAGTACTTGGTGGCAAAACCCTTGTTGGCAATCACAGAGGTCAGACGTTTCTTGTAGTTGCCCACCAGGTTTGCACACATCTCAGGAGGGATTTTGTCCCACTCCTCTTTGCAGATCTTCTCCAAGTCATTAAGGTTTCAAGGTTGACGTTTGGCAACTCGAACCTTCAGCTCCCTCCACAGATTTTCTATGGGATTAAGGTCTGGAGACTGGCTAGGCCACTCCAGGACCTTAATGTGCTTCTTCTTGAGCCACTCCTTTGTTGCCTTGGCCGTGTGTTTTGAGTCATTGTCATGCTGGAATACCCATCCACGACCCATTTTCAATGCCCTGGCTGAGGGAAGGAGGTTCTCACCCAAGATTTGACGGTACATGGTCCCGTCCATCGTCCCTTTGATGCGGTGAAGTTGTCCTGTCCCCTTAGCAGAAAAACACCCCCAAAGCATAATGTTTCCACCTCCATGTTTGACGGTGGGGATGGTGTTCTTGGGGTCATAGGCAGCATTCCTCCTCCTCCTCCTCCTCCAAACACGGCGAGTTGAGTTGATGCCAAAGAGCTCCATTTTGGTCTCATCTGACCACAACACTTTCACCCAGTTGTCCTCTGAATCCTTCAGATGTTCATTGGCAAACTTCAGACGGGCATGTATATGTGCTTTCTTGAGCAGGGGGACCTTGCGGGCGCTGCAGGATTTCAGTCCTTCACGGCGTAGTGTGTTACCAATTGTTTTCTTGGTGACTATGGTCCCAGCTGCCTTGAGATCGTTGACAAGATCCTCCCGTGTAGTTCTGGGCTGATTCCTCACCGTTCTCATGATCATTGCAACTCCACGAGGTGAGATCTTGCATGGAGCCTCAGGCCGAGGAAGATTGACAGTTCTTTTGTGTTTCTTCCATTTGCGAATGATCGCACCAACTGTTGTCACCTTCTCACCAAGCTGCTTGGCAATGGTATCGTAGCCCATTCCAGCCTTGTGTAGGTCTACAATCTTGTCCCTGACATCCTTGGAGAGCTCTTTGGTCTTGGCCATGGTGGAGAGTTTGGAATCTGATTGATTGATTGCTTTTGTGGACAGGTGTCTATTATACAGGTAACAAGCTGAGATTAGGAGCACTCCCTTTAAGAGTGTGCTCCTAATCTCAGCTAGTTACCTGTATAAAAGACACCTGGGAGCCAGAAATCTTTCTGATTGAGAGGGGGTCAAATATTTATTTCCCTCATTCAAATGCAAATCAATTTATAACATTTTTGACATGCGTTTTTCTGGATTTTCTTGTTGTTATTCTGTCTCTCAATGTTCAAATAAACCGACCATTAAAATTATAGACTGGTCATTTCTTCGTCGGTGGGCAAACGTACAAAATCAGCAGGGGATCAAATACTTTTTTTCCCTCACTGTATAGTGTAGTGTACAGTGTAGTGTCTAGCAATGTAGAGCTTGAGTCTGTGTAGAGGAGTGTATAGTGTAGTGTATAGTGTAGTAATGCATAGCTCGAGTCTGTGTAGAGTAGTGTATAGTGTAGTAATGCATAACTTGAGTCTGTGTAGAGTAGTGTATAGTGTAATGTATAGTGTAGTAATGCATAGCTTGAGTCTGTGTAGAGTAGTGTATAGTGTAGTGGTAAAGAGATGATAAATAGTTTTCCGCGGTCCCAAACCCAGACGGACGCCGCTGAAAACGAATCCCTCCGCGGAACCCATTCTGGGTGGCGTCACTTCTCGCTGTAAAGTCGCGCGCCACATTCGATGCCGCTGTGGCATTGGGAGCTCCGCTGGAACTCCCGCACGCGCGGCCATTCGACGCTTTGGGGGCTGCGTGGGGACGGCGCTCAATGGACTTGACTTGGCAAATATTAGCAAGATAATTTAGTCATCTCGCCCCCCCCCCGTCCCTCACCTCCCCCCAAAAGAAATATGTATCGTTTTGAGTAATAATTTTGGCTGCTGGAACTTACGGTGCAGATGCATTACGCTGTTGCCGACTAAGATATTCTAAGATATTCTATGCTGGTGACATCATTGACTGTTGGTGATTTGATCGATGGTGTTGTATTTAATTGCACAACTATCTTAGCATTGCTGATGTGCGTGTTGCTTGGTTGCTTTCTGCATCGCGCCTTGAGTCGTTTCCTCTTCTCACGGTTTCTGAGCACGGACTCCACCCCCCCCCGCCTCCCCCAGGGCTCATTGCCTGAAACGTCGCCGATTATATATTACCAAATATTTTTTCTTTACAGTTTGAATACTCAATTTTGGCGTTGCCACCTGTTGCGAATTTTCCCAGAACAGTCATCTGTGTGTGTATATACATTTACTGTCCATGACAAACCTGTAAAGCCTTCCTCGGAATATTACACGTCCCGGCTTATGTATTAATTTACGCTGATATCTATCTGTCAGGCGCGAAATTCTGTAATAAGGCACGACTGAAGACCAGCCATGCCATCCACGTGTGTGGCCGTCTCCTCTCCCCGGCGTACGGTCATCTTCAATTCTATCCCTAAGTCCTCGTTGTAGCTTCAATCAATTAATGTATACGTAAGAGTTGACAACTCCCCACCGGAGACGGTTTCGACTCCACCATGCGCGATCAACCTGGTTCAATAAAGGCCACTGAACTTACGATTCGCGATTGCATCTCTCCCCCCCCTCTCCCCCTCCCCTCCTCCCCCACAAGGCAAACCTGTTCAACTCGCAACTCCGGGTTCACACCCTCCTCCAGGTGCTCAGCTATTGGCGCACGCCGTACCAGCCCCCCCCGTGTGAGTTTGCTTACGTAAATGTGGTGCGGGTGAGTGGAGCGGTGGGGGGGGGGACAGCTGGGGGGGGTGAGAGCGAGGGGGTGAGTGGAGAGTTGCTGGTAGAGATATGGTGGAGAGGGGGGTGTAAGACAAGCGGCGTGCAGGTTTGAATGACAGCAAAGACATCCAAAGGATTACACGAACAAATAATGTAATTGCAGCAACTACTGCGATCGTACTGACGATGGCGATGATGCTGATGCTGATGATGGTGATAGCGGCCGAGCTCGCTATAAAGCGCAGCAGCGCTTCAGATGAGCGTCGCAGATTCCCTTCCCCCACCTAAGCCTCCCCTGCCACCGCCGCCCCCTCGCGCAGACCAATTTGTTATCCCAATTAGACACTCCCCTCCCGCCCGCAAAAGTATCGTTCAATCATTTATTATAGGGAGATGAATCGGGGTTTATAGATACATTTCTCCCTGGCTCGCAACGCGCTGTGTTCGCTCGCCCAACTCTGTGACCGCCGTCAAGTTGAACGTTCACGATTATTTTCACCGCCCGTCCGTCTGTCTGGCTAACGGGGGATCATTCCCACGATTGTTTTTTTGCGCTTTCCCGATAGCCCAGTCAACTCATCCATCTCGCCGTCTCTCACGGTGCTATCTTTACTCCTTTTTTTCAGACGTGACCTATCACACAGGGAAAAGTAAAAAAAAAATTCCCAGAATTTCAATAAATTCACTCACAATCCCACTCGATTAGCTAACTGTTAAGGAACTCAGCGACACACAGCGTGAATATCACTCAACTAAAGCGACACCTTCTTTAGACATTCATAGTTTATCACTTCCAACTAGAGTTACTCTTTAATCACCCTCGAACTCCCTGTCTCACACGCTCATTACATTTCTTGACCCTGTGGCACAAACACACACACACACTCCAATTAACTCTGACACACACTCACTCTCTCTGACACATTCCTCACACTCTGTCAATCTCGCTCACTCCACTACACACATCGCTCACTCCACCGCTCTGAACATCGCCATCATCCCACGAACGTCATGGCAATCAATCCCACGCTGCTGCGCATCCGGCTGCCGGCGCTTGCGATCTTCCTGCAGATCGCCATGATCATCCTCTTCGGGGTCTTCATCCGCTACGACGAGAACGCCGATCCCATCCTCAGCACCGAGCACAACCTCACAGGAGACCGTATCATCCAGAACGAGTTCTACTTCCGATACCCAAGTGAGTGAACGAGTTGATGAGTGAGCTAGTGAATGAGCGAGTAAGTGAGCGTACGAGTGAGTGAGCGAGTTAATGAGTGAGTGAGCGAGTTAATGAGTGAGTGAGCGAGTTAATGAGTGAGTGAGTGAGTGAGCGACTTAATGAGTGAGTGAGCGAGTTAATGAGTGAGTGAGTGAGCGAGTTAATGAGTGAGTGAGCGAGTTAATGAGTGAGTGAGCGAGTTAATGAGTGAGTGAGCGAGTTAATGAGTGAGTGAGCGAGCGAGTTAATGAGTGAGTGAGTGAGCGAGTTAATGAGTGAGTGAGCGAACGAGTTAATGAGTGAGTGAGTGAGCGAGTTCATGAGTGAGTGAGTGAGCGAGTTAATGAGTGAGTGAGCGAGCGAGTTAATGAGTGAGTGAGTGAGCGAGTTAATGAGTGAGTGAGTGAGCGAGTTAATGAGTGAGTGAGCGAGTGAGCGAGTTAATGAGTGAGTGAGTGAGTGAGCGAGTTAATGAGTGAGCGAGCGAGTTAATGAGTGAGTGAGTGAGCGAGTTAATGAGTGAGTGAGTGAGCGAGTTAATGAGTGAGTGAGTGAGCGAGTTAATGAGTGAGTGAGTGAGCGAGTTAATGAGTGAGTGAGCGAGTTAATGAGTGAGTGAGTGAGCGAGTTAACGAGTGAGCGAGCGAACGAGTGGACAATCTACGTGGAGGCAATTGTTTGATTGATCGGTTGAATGATTGTCCGTTCTCTTGATCGATAATCCGTTTGATTGATTGTACGAATTGTCTGTTTCGGTTGATCCATTGAACGGCTATGTGTTTGATTGTTGATTGCTTGTGTGTCTGTGTGTTTGAGTGGTAGTGTAGCGGTTAGCGCGCAGCACTACGAACCCGGAGACCTGGGTTCGATTCCAGCTCACGGCCAACACCAGTGACGATTATCTAAACCGGTCATGGGACTCCCCTAGGTCGACTCGGCCTCAAATGAGTACCTGGTGTGGTGTGCAAACATCACCACTGGGGAGACAAAGGCGGTCAGGCGTGGTGCTGGCCACCCACCCCCTCGTGTGCCATGCCGGCCTTCATAGGTGCTCGCTAACAGCACTTGCCCCTACAGTCTATTAAGGCTATAGGGGGATCTTTGTCTTTTGTTGTCTGATGCATTGAACGACTGTGATTAATTGTATGTCTTTGTAATGATTCCATTGATCGTGTGTGGGAGTGATTGCTTGAAAAATTAGCTGTCTGTGCGATGTGATCATTGCCTGTCTGAGTGTTAGACTGGTTTACTGATGGATTGTTTGTGGAATAAATTGTACCTCTGCTTGCTGATCTGAATGTTGCATTGTTTGATTGCTAGTTTGTGTGTACTAGCGGGAATTTAAAAAAGGAGGAAACTAAAAACTTTAATTATTTATAAAAAAAATTCCAGGTTTCAGTTTTTAGTTCCAGTCATTAGGTATAACCCTGTGAGCTATGCGGCTCTTGACTCGGGTGCAACCGCAACAAAAAACACGAACAAGAAAAACATCTTCAAGTGACTACACGCAACAGAAAAATCCTGGAAAAAAAACAGCAGAAAAAACACCGTGTTTCAAACGCTGTGTGCAAAAAATCCCAGTGGGATGCAAGTCAAACAATAACAACCATAAGTTATCAGGCTAACTCTGTACTACAACAACAACAACAAAAACATGACTAAACCAAAAAGTTTTTTAAAAAATCACCAAAATAAAACTATAAAAACAATGTAACAGTGATCATAGGAACTGTGATTCAAATTTTACAATAGTTTTGTGCCCCTCCCCACGCTGCGGCGACATGTGTGTGGTGTGCCTCCACTTGCTCCACGTCAGTTCCTACTAATTTGTATCCTTTATCTCTCAGTCTCCCCCCCCCCCCCTCTCCCTCTACTTAAGGCTTCGGCACAGAGACACTGTTTCACTGTGTCCTATATGCGTCTCTCTCTGTATGTCTCTGTGCTAACTCTCTCTGCTTAGATGTCTATATATGTGTCTGCGATCTGTACTCTATCACTCTCTTAAATTTAGCAATCCTTAGAGGAACGTAATGAGTCAGGTAGAGTGTTGACTGTTGTGTTGGCCGGCTATCTACGCTGTATTGTTTTATATTCCTCTGTGTCTCTGCTTCTTCTCTCTCTACTTATATGTCTGTTTTTTTGTGTCCCGTATGTAGGTTTTTATCTCTCTCTCAAATTTTCACACAACCTATAATTTAGCAATCTTTGAAATAACGTAATCAACCAGACCATGCGTTAATTGTGTTTTGACCGACCCTCTGTGTTGCATTATATTGATTCCAAATTTTACTAAATCGTGTTCGATTTGATGTGCTTCTCCATCTCTCTTTGTCTCCCCTACATGCTAAGGCCTCAACACAGAGACCCTGTCTCTCTGTGCTCCATACGTGTGTCTCTCTTTGTGTCTCTGTTAACTCCCTCTATTTAGGTGTCTGTATATATATCTGCGGTTCTATGTTTCCTCTCTCTCTTAAATTTAGCTCTTCTATGCCTGATGATGATTGCTTGCGTTGCAATGGAAACGTCGTATGCTATTATGTAATTTTATTATTATTTCTTATTTCTACGTGACTTTACAAAAAAAAACAACGAGTATATACATAACATGTACGACCAAACTTTGCAGCCATAGCTGGCTGCATGAGTCACTCCATAACAGCAGGAGTATCAGTAGCAGAATCAAACATTTTCAATACACCTTTAAAGATCAGTACACTATAATCAAAACTCAAGATCATACTTTGCAGCGGTCATCTGGAACGATACATTTGATTTGAGGCCATTCTGAATAGCAGTGGCAGCTAGGGGTGTACAACTCCTTTAGAGCAGTTTTGAGTGAAGATCTCACAGGTAGTGATCCAAATTGCAGTTTATTGGTGATAGTATTCCAGACCCTGGGGGCATCAATAGAAAAGACCCTTCGTCCAGTATTTGTACGGCATTAAGGAACGTGAAGCTGGTAAATGAGCAAAGACCTGAGGTCACATTTGTTCTTCGAAACAGTGAGGAGATCCAGCAGGTAGTCTGCTGATTTTTTTGTAAGTACATCGTGAATAAATAAGATCTGATGCACAAGCCGTCGATCATTAAGAGAAGTTAAGTTTGACCCAGTGGTGGGTCCTATATGAGCAGTTCAATGCAAATCTTAAGGCCGAGTGATAAATTGAGTCAAGCTTCTTCAGTATAGTACTGGGGGCTGATGTATATACGATGTCGCAGTAATCAAGTAGAGGCAGAATGGTAGCTTTAATCAATTCAAAGCGGAACATAGGGGGGAAGCAGTGCTTGTGTCGATATAGAAAACCATTTTTTTTTATTTTGTCTATTTACCAATATAATCAATGTGATCTTGAATATTCAGGTCAGGCCCACTGAGTTATATGGTTATTTTTCAGAAGCCACATGGCCACAAATGATAGTTCAATGGAAGTGGCTTATCGTGTGGAAAATTAAAGCAGCCAAAATACTCTAAATGGATGTTTCTAAATGTGGAGGGGAAACCCCGAGGACCTGGAGAAAAATCCACAAGACCACGGAGAGAGAAAATACAAATTCTAAATGTCCAGCAGGCTTCAGGGTCTGGATCGAGCCCACGACCTCCGGTATACCAGGAAGAGGAATAGAGAAACGGCAGCAAAGGGTCAGGACAGATGACGAGGAGAGGGAGGAAGAGGCTGTATCAGGGTCTCGACGCTGGTACTGCACGGAGGAGCAGCGTCTGTTTTGACAGGGGGCGGGAACAGGGGAGGGGTTCAGAGTGGGCGTGGTCACGCATAAGTCACGTGGTTTACGGGAGGGCTTTACCTGATTGAAATATATAACTACGCCACTGACAATAACCGGGACACTTTAATGCCTCAGGAAGATTTACAGATTTGCCAGGACGGTTGCCTTAATACTAATAATAATATAAAGAGGACGATCCCAGTGAAAAGCAGGAGAGGTGGCAACCCCACCTCCCCCATGCAGAGACGCGAGGGATTCAGAGTTGGGAATGGCCACGCGTAAGTCACGTGATTTATAGGACGCTTGAGCTGATTGACATAATGCAACATACCTATTTGATTATTTGCTTGTCCGATTATCCCGATGTTTGATTGCCTGAATTATTTTATTCGGATGTTGTCTGATTGCTCCTCGTGAGTTGGATTGCCTCGTTGTGTGCATGTGCTTGTCCGTGCTTAGTGGTTGTTTGTGGTATTTATTTGCTCATTGTTGGAAGGGGGGAGAGAGGTAGAGGAGGGGAGGGAGGCGGGGGTGGCAGCCGGCTCGTAAAGATGTGAATCTGACCCTTCTTGTAAAATCTCACGATCGCTCCCCTCGAGTTGTGAAATCGTTATTTGGCCTCGGGTTGACACTCGCTATAATCCGGTCCGGAATTTGATTCGTATCACGCCCTCCTATAGAATCAGTGACCGATAGCGCATTGTGACTAAATCGGTCACTAAACATCTCCGATGATGTGCAATTTAATGCGGTACGGAATTTGATCGTATCAGGCCATTTTATCAAAGCGTTTCCTCCTCCCTCCCCCCTCCCCCCTCCTCGTCCATCTCCACCTCCTTCTCCCTCATCCTTCCCCATCTCATGCTCGTCCCTCCTCCACCTCTTCCACCACCTCCTCCTCCATGACCATCTCCACCACCTCCTCGTCCATCTCCACCTCCTCTTCCTTCATCCCTCCCCCGCTCATCTTCCTTCCTCCCTCCACCTCTTCCACCACCTCCGTGACCTCCATCTCCTCTTACGCCCCCCCCCCCCTCGCCTCTCCTCCTCACTCCACCACCACCACCACCACCACCTCCTCCTCCTTCTGATTCCCACTGCCGCCTCCTCCTCCGAACTCTTCCTCACTCCGTCCTCCTCCATTTCCACCATATCCTCCACCATCGTCGTCGTGGCCCTGCAGGTTTCCAGGACGTGCACGTGATGATCTTCATTGGGTTCGGCTTCCTCATGACCTTCCTCAAGCGCTACGGCTTCAGCAGCGTGGGCTTCAACTTCATGCTCGCCGCCTTCGGCATCCAGTGGGCCACGCTCATGCAGGGCTGGTTCGAGCACCTAGATTCGGACGGCAAGATCCGAGTCGGAGTCATCAAGTGAGGGGACACTGCAAACACACGAACACGCAAGGGCACAAAGACAAAGGACCTCTCTGCCTCCCTCCGTATAGCCCAGGGGTTCGACAAGCAATTTAACAAGAGGAGGCATTTCTTTCGAATTCGGTGCAAAAAAAAAACAGACAACCATAAATATTTAAAGACCCTCAATGGATACGAATAATGTCTTTGAAGAGCCGCGACCTGCGACTGTGGAGTGAGTGAGTGAGAGGAGTGGTGGCATAGTGGTTAGTGCCACGGTGGCGAGACGCTAACTAGCTCACCTGGTATGCAGGAGGTCGTGGATTCGATTCTGACCCTGACGCCTGCTATATGTTTAGGGTTTGCGTGTCTCTCTCCACATTTAGAAGCAATATGCGTTTCGAGCAGTTGGCTGCTATAATTTAAAACATGATGAGCTATCATTTGTGGCTAGGACGCTTCTGAAAAAGCTATATTTAGCTCAGTGGGGTCTTACCTGGTAAAATAAAAATATAAAATTGTTTTATAGTTTAGCGCTGCACCGCGCTACGAACCTGGCGATCCGAGTTCGATTCCCGCTCACACATGACCCGACAGCAGCGGGGATGATCTGAACCGGTGGGTCCTGGGGCCTCTTCCCCCCAACAGGTTCGACTCGGCCGTACAATGAGTAATGTTCCGTAAGTGTAATCGTTTTGATATTCACGACAACAGCCCCGTGTGTGCGTGATGTGTGTGTCGTGTTATTTAATGGCCACGTGTCAGCAGTCGAGGGTACCAGGGTCACCTGACCGTGCAAGGGAAGAAGCACCTGACAGATGCGCGTGAATCGTGTGATTGTGTTTAAAAAAAAACATAATTAACGACCACACACGCGTGCGACAAATCACACGCAATCGCACGGTTACTGGGCAATAAAAAGAAACCACTCAAAAAGTGGCCCCTCCAAAAGTCCCCCCCCCTCCCCTATGTCACGGAATTGCCAACTCGTGCCTTGGCTCGTCGGCTGTGCGTGCGAGTGAGCGAGTGAGCGAGCGAGATCAACCGGGTGCGTTGGCGATGACAATGATGGATTCATATTGGGGGAGGGGGGGGGGGTGTTACTTGTTTGCATTACCAGACAAACATGCAAAGTGTGGCTGGGAGTTTGTTCTTAGGCTTTTCTGCACCGATTGCCATTGGCTCGATTGCCCGTAATTTGTATTTATTTATCTAATATTTTTTTTGTATTCTTGGTTCTTTCGGTAAAGTCACGTAGAAGGGAAACATGAAAATAATAAAAATATAAAACGATTAAATTCTAACGACGTTTCGACTGCAACACAAGCAATCATCATCAGGTGTGAAAACCACAGCAAGAAAATTTGTGCTGCAGTCGAAACGTCGTGAGAATTTTATTGTTTTATATTTTGTATTATTTTATTGTTTCCCTTCTACCTGGTGACTTTACCGAAAGAACCAAGAATATGAATCCCTGCAGTCACGAAAGCATTCAATCAAAATGTAATATTTTTTGCTTCTATCGTGTCGGTGACCCAGCCCCCCGTAGCGCAAATCAGACGCATCTTGGCACTCTGGAGATCTCAACCGCTAAACCAAATACGCTTAAACCTGTTCTTGAGCCACACGAGGAGTTAGATGTATGTATGTTGAACTTGTTTCGCACACACGTACGTAGCCACCCGCGATGATCAGAGGGGTGCATCCCGGCACGTGGAGTTCTGCACGCTCCCGGTGCCGCGATTGTGCGCGATATCAAATTAGAGACTGCGGAGCAAACTGCTGCAGCGGCTACCGCCGTTTTACGTCTTGACGCTGGGATGTGGTTGAAGTAGGGCGGGGGGGGGGCTGGGCGAGGGGGAGGAGGGAGCAGACCAGGGGGGGTATTGATGGGATTTTTTTTTTTGGGGGGGGGGGCATTGTAACGACGTTCGAATGAAAAATAACACGGGGATCACGTGATTGGCGTCGCGATAGCGTCACAGTCGTGCGCGTCACCTGAGGATCTTGCAGCCACTAGAGGCGCTACATTTCACACCAATTGATCGATATTGGCTCGTGATGATGACTTTGGGGACGATGAGGATGATGATGATGATTGTGCCTGGCGTTGATGCTCCTGCTGTTGATGATGGTAGTAATGATGCTGAGACTGCTACAACGATGATCGTGACATTGACGGTCACAAAGATCAGAGTGAATGATGATTATGACGATGTTCATGTTGACGACGTGTTTCTCGTTTCCACTGAGCACGATGAACGCTTACGATGATGAAGCCGATGATGCCGATGATGTTGATTGATGACGACGATGTGTCTCTGATGACGGTACGCTGACGATGACTACATCGACGACAGCAATTATGCTGATAACGATGTATGAATGTTGAACTCCTTTCGCACTGTACGTAGCCGAACGTGCTAATCGGAGGTGCGGGGGAAGAACAACAAACTAAACGCAATAAGCAGATTTAAAATAAATTAGTTTGTCAATCTGTATTCAAAAGTGCTTAATTCCAGTGGCTTCCATATACCGGAAGGAAGAGCGTTCCAGACGGCCACAGAAGCGCATCTGAAAGCGCGTGATGCGGTGACCGTCTATGTTAAACGGTTAGCCAAAAGCCGCTGCTGCGAGGATGACCGGAGTTCGCTTGACGGTTTATGATGATGATGATGACGATGGTGCCGGCTTTCCACTCAGCATGATCAACGCGGACTTCTGCACGGCGTCCGTGCTGATCGCGTTCGGGGCCGTGCTGGGTAAGACCAGCCCGGTGCAGATGCTCTTCATGGCCATCATCCAAGTCACCCTTTTCGCCGTCAACGAGTTCATCATCCTGCACCCGCTCCACGTGAGTCCCTGACGGCCCCAGTTTTCGCTTCCAGTCACCAGAGTCCCGTTACTCACCTGTGTATATATCAGCGCAAGCCTCCGGTAAATCTCGTGACTCATGAGTGCCCACCCACACTCTGGAACCCCTCCCCCTCTTCCACACCAAATGTGACAGCAGGCGCCGCTCCGTGCGGCTCGCTCCTGTTTGCTCCTTCCTTCTTTCTCTCTCTCTCTCCGTCTCCACCCCTCCGTCATCATCATCATCACACCATCTCTCATCATCATTTGAGGTGCAATTATTCACACTTAGTAATGTTTCACGGTTCTCATGCACTCATGCTATTGACCGAGGCGGCCACTGGGTTTCGAACCGCGAACCTATGCAAAACAAGCGGGGAGGGGGCGAACGTGCTCCCGTTGGGCCACGTCACCACGCGGTGACATCGCCGCTATTATTGTTGTTGATATTATAAAGTGACGCTATTGGCTGGGCGCTGCGGTGGCGAGATGTTAATTACCTCGCCTGGTATACAGGAGGTCGTGGATTAGATCTTGACCCTGACGCCTGCAGAGTTTAGAGTTTGCGTGTCTCGCTCCCCCCCCCCCCCCCCCCGTGGTCGTGTGGATGTTTCTCCGGGTCCTCCGGTCTTTCCCTCCCCATTTAAAATAAACATAATTTGACTGTTACACATTTCCATGTGATAAGCCACTTTGTTGAGCTATTATTTGTGGCCAGGCTGCTTCTGAAACAGAGCTACAGTAAGGGAAAAAAGTATTTGATCCCCTGCTGATTTTGTACGTTTGCCCACTGACAAAGAAATGATCAGTCTATAATTTTAATGGTAGGTTTATTTGATCAGTGAGAGACAGAATAACAACAACAAAATCCAGAAAAACGCATGTCAAAAATGTTATGAATTGATTTGAATTTTAATGAGGGAAATAAGTATTTGACCCCCTCTCCATCAGATAGATTTCTGGCTCCCAGGTGTCTTTTATACAGGTAACGAGCTGAGATTAGTAGCACACTCTTAAAGGGAGTGCTCCTAATCTCAGCTTGTTACCTGTATAAAAGACACCTGTCCACAGAAACAATAAATCAGATTCCAAACTCTCCACATGGCCAAGACCAAAGAGCTCTCCAAGGATGTCGGGAACAAGATTGTAGACCTACACAAGGCTGGAATGGGCTACAAGACCATTGCCAAGCAGCTTCGTGAGAAGGTGTCAACAGTTGGTGCGATTATTCGCAAATGGAAGAAACACAAAATAACTGTCAATCTCCCTCGGCATGGGGCTCCATGCAAGATCTCACCTCGTGGAGTTGCAATGATCATGAGAACGGTGAGGAATCAGCCCAGAACTACACGGGAGGATCTTGTCAATGATCTCAAGGCAGCTGGGACCATAGTCACCAAGAAAACAATTGGTAACACACTACGCCGTGAAGGACTGAAATCCTGCAGCGCCCGCAAGGCCCCCCTGCTCAAGAAAACACATATACATGCCCGTGTGAAGTTTGCCAATGAACATCTGAATGATTCAGAGGACAACTGGGTGAAAGTGTTGTGGTCAGATGAGACCAAAATGGAGCTCTTTGGCATCAACTCAACTCGCCGTGTTTGGAGGAGGAGGAATGCTGCCTATGACCCCAAGAACACCATCCCCACCGTCAAACATGGAGGTGGAAACATTATGCTTTGAGGGTGTTTTTCTGCTAAAGGGACAGGACAACTTCACCGCATCAAAGGGACGATGGACGGGGCCATGTACCGTCAAATCTTGGGTGAGATCCTCCTTTCCTCAGCCAGGACATTGAAAATGGGTCGTGGATGGGTATTCCAGCATGACAATGACCCAAAACACACGGCCAAGGCAACAAATTAGTGGCTCAAGAAGAAGCACATTAAGGTCCTGGAACGGCCTAGCCAGTCTCCAGACCTTAATCCCATAGAAAATCTGTAGAGGGAGCTGAAGGTTCGAGTTGCGAAACGTCAGCCTCGAAACCTTAATGACTTGGAGAAGATCTGCAAATAGGAATGGGACAAATTCCCTCCTGAGATGTGTGCAAACCTGGTGGCCAACTACAAGAAACGTCTGACCTCTGTAATTGCCAACAAGGGTTTTGCCACCAAGTACTAAGTCATGTTTTTCAGAGGGGTCAAATACTTATTTCCCTCATTAAAATGCAAATAAATTTATAACATTTTTGTCATGCGTTTTTCTGGATTTTGTTGTTGTTATTCTGTCTCTCACTGTTCAAATAAACCTACCATTAAAATTATAGACTGATCATTTCTTCGTCAGTGGGCAAACGTAATAAACCAGCAGGGGATCAAATACTTTTTCCCTCACTGTATACAGCTGAGTGGGCCTTACCTGCTAAAATAAAACAATAGCTGAGAGTTCAAATAGTTGATAGTATCATGGTGCGTTGTTGTTGTTGTAGCTGTTGTCGTCGTTGTTGTTGTCGTTGTTGTTGTGGTGCAGTGCAACGATGCCGGCGGCTCGATGACCATCCACACGTTCGGCTGCTACTTCGGACTCGCCGTGTCGCGCGTGCTCTACCGCCCGGGACTCAAGGACGGGCACTCCAAGAACGGCTCCGTCTACCACTCGGACTTATTTGCGATGATCGGTGCGTGCTTTTGCCAGGGCGACAACACTCCATCCCAGACAGGCGTAAACAGTTGAGAGACCACATTTTGCCGTATCGCCTTCCCATGGCGACCCAGGGCAAGGGGCACCTCCTCGACGCCCATGGGAAGGGAGTTTCACAAACCCTCAATTCGTATGTTGCGGTGATCTCACAAACCCTCAATTCCGCCTCCACGGTGCTCGATTACTTATTGGCTGCCACGTACAGCAGCATAGCCACAACCACAGCCACCGCCCTGGCAAACAATGATAATGATATCTTTTCGCCGCCAAAAACAGACAAAGATCTCCCCTCCGCGTAGCATTAACAGGCTGTTGGGGAAAGTGCTGTTAGCGAGCACATTTGAAGGCTGGCATAGCACACGAGGGGGTGAGTGGCCAGCACCACGCCCGACCGCCTTTGTCTCCCCAGCGTCGATGTTTACACATCGCACCAGGTACCCATTTGCGGCTGACGTCGACCTAGGAGAGGCCCAGGACCGGTTCATATAATTGTCACCGGTGTTGGCCATAAGTCGGAATCGAACTCGGATCGCTGGGTTCATAGCTCCGTTCCGCTACTGCTCACTACCACCACCCTCATCTACCACCACTACCACCACTACCTGCAACCTCCCTTCCTCGCTGCCTCTCATCCCAGCTCACCTGTGCGACTCCACCACCCAACAGGCACTCTCTACCTGTGGATGTACTGGCCGAGCTTCAACTCGGCGATCTCGGTGACGGGTACCGACCAGCACCGTGCGGCCATCAACACCTACTACGCACTGACGGCATGCGTCTTGGCCTCCGTGGCCATGTCGAGCCTCCTGGACAAGCGCGGGCGGCTCGACATGGTTAGTCGCGAACCGGGGTGGGGGTGGGGGGGGGGATGGAGAGATGTGGCAGACAGGGCTAAAATGAAAACGATGTTTTTTTAATTTTTATGTTTCTCTTTTTTATATATGTATTTATATTATATATTACCAGTTAAGGCCCTTGGAGTCATACACATGGAGTTTATCTCCTTTTCAGAAGCGTGCTGGCTATCGCGCATGATTGCTCAACCTAATTGGCTTATCCATTGTGCGGAAAGTTACGGAAGCCATTAGGAAGCCACTCGAGCTACGCGCCTTTAAACCAAGATGGAAAACGCATTTCTGTTGAGCTGCTCTTTGTGTTTAGTTTGTCGCCCTTCCCCCGCACCGATTAGCACGGTTGTCTACGTTTGGCGCGAAAGAAGTTCAACATGCATACGTACGGACAGCTGAAATGGCCTGAGTCTATGTCTCTACGTACCTCGATGTAACGGCCATTTCCGTTGCGTTTCCATGCAAGGTCCACATCCAAAATGCGACGCTGGCGGGGGGAGTGGCGATGGGTACGTCCGGGGAAATGATGATCACGGCATACGGAGCTCTAATCGTGGGCTTCGTCACCGGCATCGTCTCCACATTGGGCTTCAAGTATCTCTCTGTGAGTCGTCAGCAACATCACTATCAGCAGCGTCAGCATCACTATCAGCAGCATGATCACTATCAGCAGTATTATCACTATCAGTAGCAACAGCATCATCATCACTATCAGTAGCAGCCGCAGTATCATCACTTTTAGCAGCATCATCATCACTATAAGCAGCAGCAGTATCGTCATCATCACAATCGTAAACAGCATCATCTTCATCACCAGCAACATCATCATTGTTAGCAGCAGCATAATATATATTTACAACTGGTGTGAACAACAAATCGATACATTTATGTAATTTTGATGCTTTAACGTTAATCGTTAAATCAACGTCTTATATTGTCCCTCACTCCATCTATGCACCTACTCCTTCATCTACTCCTTCCTAATTCATGTCTCCATCCTCTTCCTTCCTTCCCCCCCCCCCCTCCTCTGCTCTCTATAACCCGGCAGCCCTTCATGGCCTCTAAGCTGAAGATACAGGACACGTGCGGGATCCACAACCTGCACGGCATGCCAGGGATCATCGGGGGCATCACCGGAGCCATCACGGCCGCCACCGCGCCGACCAGCGGCACCTATGGCGAGCGGTGAGGGCCTTTACGATCCCCCCCGCCCATCCCTCCCACCACCCCCCAATCATCCGGTGCACGAGTGGGATAAGACATTAACAACTACTGCTCAAGTGCCGCAGTTGCTGTTTTTGGACTGATTTCTGCTTGCTTTTTGCCATACGTTGTTTTTGTTATGATACTTTGTCTTTGCTTTTGTCACCTGTGTGACCCAGGTCACTGTTAAAACTAAACTATAAACTATTTGTTTATTTTATCAGAGAAGGCACCACTCGGCTACATAGCTGAGCAGTCAAATGCTCTAAACGCATGATTATAAAATGGGGGAGGGAAATACTGGAGGACCCAGATACAAAACCACTCGGTCACGGGGCAGAACATGCAAACTCCATATGTACAGGCATCAGGGTCGGGATCGAACTCATGATGGGATAGGATGGTAGGATAAGATATCCCACCTGATCGTCCTCAGGTGGGATAGGATGGTGGGATAAGATATTCCACCTGTCCCACCTGAGGACGATCGCTTGTGTGGCGATCGAAACGTCGTGATCTATTATTATTTTTCTACGTGACTTTACCGAAAGAACCAAAGAGTATTGATATTTGAACTCACTCACTCATTCACTAACTCATTCAAATGAGACTCTATCCTGGTCTCTTGAGGTCCCCTCACCTGGTTACAACAAAATTAACTTGATATTTGAACTCTCTCACTCATTCACTAATTTATTCACTAATTCATGCAAATGAGACTTGAACTTGGACTTGGCAGGCCCCCTGTGTGTAAATCGGACGGCCATCTTACCTGTGGGCTATGGTAATTAATGGATCAATAGAAATAGGATCAGAGATAGAGAGATTAGTTCACTAAACTTACTAATACTGTTATATACAGATTCACAACAACAAGTATAATTTTATATTTTCAATAAAAAATATATAGGTTTTGAAATAGGATTTATTTCATATGTAACTTCGACGAAACATAACTCCCTCCCCAGGCAAGATGGCGTTCTTATTTGCATAACAAAATGGCGTCCTGCCCTTATCTATTCCGTTCTAGCTCCTGCTCGCCCTCACTCCCGCATGCACTCGCAGTGTGGAGAGCCACTTGCTGCTGATGGTGCTGCTGATGGTTCTGCCACTGATGCCACTGCTGATGCTGTTGTTGTTGGCAATTGTGGTGTGCGGGGGGGGGGGGGGGGTGAAACGGCAAGTCACAAAGGCACCTTGTGCGATATGCAGGTTGAGTGATTCTGTGAGCCGTCGATTAGCTTGCCAAGTAAACAACAGGGTGCCATGGAGAGGTCACTGAGAAGTCATCACGGACCGGCAGCTTCTTGATATCAAAACAGTATTTCCCTTGTCTCGAGTTCAAGTTCAAAATTCTGGTTGGTGGTTGACGCAGCTCATCAGTAACCAACTTTGCGGGGAAGTCAGCGGTCGTCCTATGGGTAAGAGACTCGCCCCCGCCATAGGGAAATGGATTGTCACCACTGGCTCAGGCGGGGCTCTAGACATCAGATGAGCGACAACACATCAATGCTCATTCAGAGCAGGGAATCACTTAAACTTATCTCTCAGGCGCATTGGAGTTCGTCGATCGGAAGGTCCCTGTGTGATGGGCTAAAGCGTGGGTCTGGCCAGCATGGAAGAGACCTTTCAGGAAGCAGTGGCGTGAGCCTAGTTCTGTCAGAATCAGATGACAGTGGCATTGCCCTTGTCGGCTGAGAGGATGACAATGCCATCTCTCTTTTTTAATTGAGATAATTCAAAGCGCTCATCTTTGCTGATGTACGTAGACGACACCTTTGTTATCTGGCTACATGGCTTACCTGCTCGAGACCCATTCCTCGACCACATCAACTCCATACACCCAGCCATCAGATTTACCATGGAGGTCGAAAAAGAAGGCAAGCTACCCTTTTTGGATGTCTTAATTAAAAGGAGACATGATGGTTCAATGAGCCACTCTTTCTACAGGAAAGCGACCCGTACGGATGCTTACTTAAAACGGGATTCACACCACCATCCATCCCAGAAGAACTCCCTCATCAAGACTCTATACCATAGAGCCCAATGCATTTCCGACCAGGATCACATTGCCAGTGAACTCAAACACGTACACCAAGCTCTCAAGGCTAATGGTTACTCCGACTACACAATCCGCAAAGCCATCACTCCAGTCATGAATAAGGATCCCCTTGAGGAACCATTCAAAACCATCACCTTACCCTACATTGCGGGGGTCACAAAAAAGATCTCCAAAATCCTGAACAAACACAAGATCCAGGTCCGATTCAACACAGTACATAAAATCCGTGATCTGGTTCCATCTGTAAAAGATGCTGTTCCAGACATACAGTACCCGAGCGTTTACAAACTAAAGTGCCTCTGTGGTAGCAGCTACATTGGAGAAACCAAACGACATATCTCGGACCGCATCCGCGAACATAAAGCAGACTTGAAACACGGTAGGACGAACTCCTCTGCCGTGGCAGATCACTGTTATTATTCAGTGGGCTCACATGACATTGACTTCTCCAAGACGGAGGTTCTTTGCAAGCCAACCGGCTACCATGAGAAATTCGTTCATGAGGCCATCCACATATACAAGCACAGAGACAATTTCAACCGAGAAGATGGATTCTGGCTTAGTAACCATTGGAAAGATGTTTTAAACCATTTCGGTTCTTAATTAATTGTATTTTACGGTGACCTTCAGACCGCAGCTTTTTCGCTGGCATTGCCTCTTAATACCTCTAACACCACGGTTAATGGTATGGTTTATAACATGGAGTATAACAGCGCATCGTGGCTGTTTCTCCCCCCTCTTCCGTTCCGAGCATAGATGGACTCGTCCGTCTGAACAAAGCTCGCCGCTGTCCGTGGTGCTAACGTTGAAAAGAAAAAAACCGCCACCCATTTTTTCGCCATATGGCATTATAATGTATAACGACTTATTGTTGGTAGCTCAGCTGATTGGAGAGTATATAGAGTTTATTGATAACATTGATGTAGTTTATATTTTAGTTTTTTTATTAGTTTACTATATGGTATTCATTATAGAGTGTAGTGTATAACCAGTTACTTTATGTTAATAGCTCAACTTATTGAAGAATATATTGAGTACATTAATTATATTGATGTAGTTTATTGTATGATAGTTGGGTAGTTGCAGTCCTTTAGCGTTCATATACTAAATGTCTCTGTTGATATGAAAACTTTGACTTTAACATAGCTATTTCCGTGACCAGTCACATGCTAATCCCTCACATTAACATCATGCTAATCTCCCAGTTACATGCTAATTTATGACTTTAACACCCTGCTGATCCAACACTTTATCACCACTATTTCAATGCTAAATTCTCCTGTTTGATATGTAAACTCCTTAGTCAAGGCGCTTTATTTCTCCCACCTAGTTTAAACGACGCTGCGAATCTTAGCAGCGTTCATTGAAGCGCTGTCGTCCCGACAGTTCTGTTCCTTCACCTGAAGAAGGCTACTTGTGTTGTGGCCGAAACGCCGTGAGAATTTTATTGTCTTATTTTGTTTTATTCTCATTCTACATGACTTTACCGAACGAACCAAGAAGAGGGATAAGAGTTTTACACGTCAGGTTGGCTCCTTTACCTTCATCTTTACCAAGTCCCTCCCAAAAGCCTCCGTGTCCCCCCCCCCCCCCCCCCCCCCCCCACATTTTAAACCTTTTTTGTTAGAAATGAAAAGGCGAATTCTTTCACCCTCAATACGAGAAATATGGGGTTTATTCACGTTTAAATTCACATGAGATTACCAGGGTAAATGTCTTTAGCTGCCGAGGGTCGGGGGGGGGGGTTGGTGTGACCTAAGTCAGACGTCATGAGTTGCAAACAGCTCGTCATCAATTCCATAGGTCTTTGGTGCCCTCCGGTCAGGATAAGCCCTTCACTCAGTGAGATGAGATCTCTTGAAGTAAGTAACGTGCCTCATTCACACACAAAGATAGACTGCTGGGGCAAGTGCTGTTAGCGAGCACCAATGAAGGCCGGAACGGCACACGAGGGGATGAGTGGCCAGCAACCACGCTGGACCGCCTTTGTCTCCCCGGCTGTGACGTTTACACACCACACCAGGTACTCATTTGAAGGCTGAGTCGACCTAGGGGAGGCCCAGGACCGATTCAGATAATCGTCACTGGAGTTGGCCGTGAGCGGGAATCGAACTCGGGTCGCCGGATTAGTAGCACAGCGCGCTTACCGTTGCACTACCACACCCACACTCACAGACGAACACATGATATCAGTAATGCTACGAATTATATTCATAAAGTACCTGATAGGAATTATTTCAAAGCACTGTACAAGACACAGCAGCAGACATCATAACGATACCTCATGAAACTAATAAACGGAAAATGTATTAACTAAATGCTGAATTTCATCTAGTACATTAATTAAAAGTCGGATAAAGCTGAAGTGTCTTGTGATGTCAGGTTTCACGTTTACGTTGTTGTAACCAGGTGACACCTCAAAAAGACTCGGACAATGTCTCCTGTGCATGAGTTAGTGAGTGGGTGAGTGAATGAATGAGTGAATGAGTTCAAGTGTATTTTGGTGTAACAAGGTGAAAACTCCAAGAGACCTGCAGGACAGTCTCCTCCTGGATGAGTTTTAGTGAATGAGTGAGTGGGTGAATGAATGAGTTGAAGTTTATTTTTTCTTGCAACCAGGTGATGATTCAAAGAGAACTTACAGGATCGGCTGTTTGCAAGAGTGACCCGAGTCGCCGAAGCGGCAAAAGCAAACACAAATTAAGTTGCAACAAAAGTAGTGAATGGAATTCACTCCTATTGATGCTTTTTTATTGCTTTGCTTTACGTAACCCCCCCCCCCCCCTTTTTAAATCAAAGATTTAACAAATAATTTTCGCTCTGCTCTCCTCTCTCTACCCCCCTCTCTGCCCCCCCCCTCTATCTGTACCCACTCTCTTCCTACTCCATGTCGCTCTCTCTCTCGCTCTCTCTCTACTCTCCCTCTCTCTCTCTCCCATTCTCCCTCCCTCTCCCCCACTGAATGGAATTCACTCCTTTTGAATGGAATTCACTCCTTTTGCAGCCATGCCACCATCCCTCTCTCCCCCACTCTCCCACTCTCTCTCTCCCATTCTCCCTCCCTCTCCCCCACTGATTGGAATTCACTCCTTTTGAATGGAATTCACTCCTTTTGAATGGAATGCACTCCTTTTGAATGGAATTCACTCCTTTTGAATGGAATTCACTCCTTTTGCAGGCATGCCACCATCGTGAAAAATCGACAACATGTCGCACGCAAACATCAAATCAGGCAGATTGTGCACAATTACAACGTTAAGCTACAGAAGCAGTCGGCAGATATCGGGTGACTGTTGTGCTAATATGTGAACAGACAAGGATGATATTTTCAGCGTGGCCCAAAAGTCAGGACGAATAGGGTTATGATATTTATTTAAGCAGATCGCATAGGATAATTTCATTTGTATTTTCACAAATGTTCATGCTGACTTCCGTTAACATTTATACACACACACGAATCCTCTTTTGAAATGAATTTAGGACTTTTAGTTAAAAGATTATGCATGCATGTTGAACGTCATTCGCACCGTACGTAGCCAATCGTGCTAATCGGAGGTGCGGGGGAAGGGCGACAAAACGAAATTACCGCAAACGAATTGCTTTCAGCTGCCTTCTTTAGCATAGACGTCAACTAATCGAACTCGTTCGTCTTTCAGCAAGTTTTCTTTCCCATACTCTTTGGGTCTTTCGGTAAAGTCACGTAGATATAAAAATATTAACAAAAAAATCACACAAGCAATCGATTGCTTGTGTTGCGATCGAAACGTCGTGATTTTTTTGTATTTAGTCCATCCACGTGACTTTTCCGAAAGACCCAAAGAGTATGAATTCCTGCAGTCACGAAAGCTTTAAGTCAAGATTTTTCTTTCCCATTTTTAAATGCCACCTGACAAGGGAGAAGAACAATGTGATATTAAGACAGGTAGTCCTCGTTTAACGCGGTAGATGCGCTCCTGTAAAGTGCCTCGTTAAGCGGAAAGAGGCGTTAAGCGAAATTAATTTGACAATAAATGATGTAAGGGCAAGGTTTGGCGAGTCACGATGCACCACGCACACCGCAGGATGGGGAGACGAATGACCGAGTGTGCGCCGCCGCGTTACCGTACCATTCCGCGTGCTGCATCACAGCTCAAGAAAGTTTCACGTCGTCGACCGCTCAGAAACCGCGTTACAGCGGCGCGCGTTCCGCCTCATCACGGGTGCGTTCCGCGTTATAACAGGCGCATTGTCTGTTATAACGGGGTGCGGCGGTTTGCTTCTGTGCGCGCACATGCGCGCGCAAAAAGTAATCCCGCGCTTGCATAGCGAACGCCGCGTTACGGCGTTCCGCGTTACGGCGTTCGCTATGCAAGCGCGGGGGACTACTTTTTGGGCTTTTGTTTTCTTTACTTTCTTTTAACCGCCCCACGTTGTGTGCGTCACAGGCTCACGGAGACGTTTTCCGTCCTGACCAAGCAGCCCGAGAGGCTGCTGGGTGGCTTCCAAATGGCCGGCACCCTCGTGGCCATCGCGATGGGGATCGTGGGAGGAACAATCGTGGGTGAGTTTGCTGTCGAGCACCAGGACCCACCCCGTGCCCATCAATGAGTGTAACGTCGACCCGAAAGCAATCCCAACACCGGAGTATAACCGTTACACGGTCATTTCTTTTTTTTAAAACTGATTTCTTTCGAGCAGATTCTTTCTTTTGCGCGTGTTTCGTTTGTTGTCCTTCCCCCCCCCCGCACCTCCGATGAGCGTCAGAAGTGGAAGAAGGCGGACAGCATCGAAGCATTCCACAATTGCGGAATTTAAAACGAACAAAGAAACTTAACAATAGCAATCGCGTGGCAAAAATTACATTCAACACTTAAACTCTCGTGGCTGGGATCAGATAGTCGGTTCAAATGAGGACAGAGGAGGCAGGATTGGAGAGATGCTAAGAGACGAGATGTCGGTGATTCCAAACACTTTGGGGTATCTACATAAAAAAAAAAATAACTTGTTGATCCAAATTGTGTCGACACGTTACGCACTGCTGGATGAAGGTGGAATCTGTGCCCGTTGTGATCGCGCAGGGTTCATCCTGAAGCTGCCGATCTGGGACTACCCAGAAGACGAGGAGTGCTATGAGGATGAGCACTACTGGGAGGTGGGCTCCCCACACGCACAAAACGCATCAATCGATGGCACGTGTGTAAAACACGTGGCTGCGTGTGTGTTTGCGCACTTGCCGGCCGGTTAGCGCTACGCTGGCCCGCGTTCGAATCCCGCTCAAGGCCAACACCAGTGACGATGATTTGAACCAGTCCTAGGCCTCCCCTGGGTCGACTCGACCTCAAATGAGTACCTGGTGCGGTGTGTAAACATCGCCACTGGGGAGACAAATGCGGCCGGGCGTGGTGTTGGCCACCCACCCCCTCGTGTGCCGTGCCGGCATTCATAGGTGCTCGTTAACTGTACTTGCTCCAACAGCCTGTTACGGCTATACGGGGGGAGTCTTTGTCTTTGCACTTGCTGGTTAGCGCACTGCGCTACTAAACCGCCGGCCCGAATTCGATTCCCGCTCATGGCCAACACCGGTGACGATTATCTGAACCGGTCCTGGGCCTCCCCTAGGTCGACTCAGTTTCAAATGAGTAACCGGTGCGGTGTGTAAACATCGTGCCGGTCTTCACAGGTGCTCGCTGATCGCACTTGCCCCAACAGTTTGTTAAGGCTATACAGGGGATATTTGTCTTTGTGTGTGTGTGTGTACGCATGTGCATTGAGCCGTCTACGCGGTCGATCATTGTTGATTGTGTGCACACTTGCCCCAAACAGTCTGTTGAGGCTATATGGGGGATCTTTGCCTTTTGCCACTTTCCAGGTGCCAGAGAGCGACGAGGAGTCGGCGCCGGCGGTGTCGCCGCAGCCGCAACCCAAGCACAACAACGAGCAGGACTTCAACATGACAATCGAAAACGCCAAGGCGGCCGCGTAGCGTGTGGTGGGAAGGGGGCGGGCGGGGGGTGGTGGTGTAGGTGCTGATCAACAACCCCAGAGTGGCCCTCTACCGACACAGATCGCCATCCTCCTCCTCCTCCTCCTCCACCGCCACCACCACGCGCGCGCGTGCGGCGCTGGCACGGCGCAGCGCATCACGCGCGAGCACGGCCTTGGCACGTGCCGCTCAAGGCTTCCCGGCTCCACGATAAAGACGCGAGCCGGGTGGCACGTGAACTGCTAAGACCGAGACTGGAGGTCTTCTTCTGCTGCTTCTTCTTCTTCCTCCTCATCAACATCATCACAATTCTGGCGAATCGCTCCGACGAAGCCGGCTGTCGATGTTGTAATCGCCAGCGAAACGTCACAGTTCTCGAATTGTAAATGCGGTGGGTTCACTCTCCAACGCGCCGGCGTGCTGAACTAGTAACTCGCTGACATGATTTGTTTACGTGACAAACCTTACTAATTGCTTGCGTCGGGTGGTGGCGGGTTTAACGACGCATCTATAATTATGAAATACAACCCCAAAAAACCCCTTTATTATGGATAATATTGGTCGCGAAAGCCTACGTATGATCCTGACTGGTAGTAGTTGTAATGGTAGTAGCGGTGGTGGCTATGCTGTTGCTTGCTGCACGTGGCTGCCTGTGATCCGGCTCTCTGAAGGCAGCAGCGAGGGGTTGGTGAATCACCGCACACACCGATCTTGTGAAACTCCCTTCCCGTGGGTGTCAAGGAGGAGCCTGCCTTGGAGAAGGCAATACAGCGAATTAAATACTTCGATTGGGTACGTACCTGTGGGATAGAGCGTTGCCCCCTCACAGGCGTGGGATTTACTCCGGGTGCTGCGGTTTCCTGCCACGTGTAAGGCCGCCATTTAATTGACAGGCAAACACCTTAATATGTTTCGGATCGCAGAGCTTTATGGGAAATTACACCGCACGCCTGTAGCTTACTCGCAGTCACGTGCCATCTATTTACTGCAGTCTTAAAAGACTAAAGGCATGTTATGCCCCGTGGAATAATCGTGCGCGTTATGAATTGCACTGTAATAATGATGATTATTATTATTTTTAACTATCACGTGGTGAGAGGGGAGAGAGACGATCATCAATGCCCAGACGGACGCGGCTGAAGACGAAAGACTTCACGGAACCCATTCCCAGTGACGTGGCTTCTCTTTGTAAAGTCTGTGTATCATACAACAACTACAACACATAGGAATAGGTTTTACCCTTTTAACTGGCACAAAAACTGACACCTTTATTCAAGGCATCATGTTTGCAATAACCACAACACAAGCAGTCAAAATGCAAACAAAAAAGACAACTCTGATAATAATATGCACTGTCCTTGAATTTGATTGGTCCACACCCGAGACGGCTTTTCTTAGAGCCTAGTCTCCATTGGTGTTGGACCAGAAGACGCCAAAAGGCGTAAAAGGGTAAAACCTATTCCTATATCGTGTTACTGGCAAAGGAGGTCTCATAATGTAAACAAACTCAACACGTTCGTCAATAACACCGCATGGCCTTAAAAGGGAACGAAAATGTATAATAGGCGACGCTGAGGGCAGTGGTCCATCATAAGGCAATGCCGTATCAGCGAATAATTTGTTTTAAAAACACGAGGTCAGTTTTAGACTTCGTGTGAGTGGGTGAGTGGCTTTGACCACCCACCCCCTCGCGTGCCGTGCCGGCTTTGATTGGTGCTCGCTAACAGCACTTGCCCCAACAGCCTGTTTACAGGCTATACTAAGGGATGTTGTCTTTGTGTGTGTGGACGGAGGGGGGGAGAGATGGTGCTGTGGAGATGAGAGTGGAGTCGAGTGAGATGAGAGGGCAGTCGAGTGAGATGAGAGGGGAGTCGGGTGAGATGACAGGGAAAGGGAGAGATGGTGCTGTGGAGATGAGAGTGGAGTCGAGTGAGATGAGAGGGCAGTCGAGTGAGATGAGAGGGGAGTCGAGTGAGATGACAGGGGAGTCGAGTGAGATGAGAGGGGAGAGGTAGGCGAGTTATTGGAATATTTGAAGACGTTGAGAGTGAAATTGATGCGGGACCGGATTGGGAGACAGTGGAGGGACGACGCCCCCCCTCCCCCCCCCCACAGACAGAGATCTCCAAACTCCACTTCAGAGCGCTTCGGGTCCCAGAGCCACGAGCATTCGCCGCGAGGTCTTAGCAGAAATCTTCCTTCACCAGGGACCGAACCGGGAACTTCCCCGCTCGTGGTTACCGCCAGGCGCCCAAGGGCGCGGCAGGTGACGGCCTCGGGGCAGGAAGAATTTTATTTTTTTGACGTCCGGAGTTTTTTGATGTGCCGAGATGTATTGCCTCGTTGATGTTTTATTTTAGTTTGTCTTCGACTGTAAACATCAGCGGAACTGAACAAGCCGCGAGACACGCGTCGCTCCGTGCGCCACATTAATAATATTAATATATTATTACTATTGTTATACTCACTTCGCACTTAATGAGATTACTTAATGTTATTAAGTATTAAAGTATACTCGTATATTCCACGCACACAAAAAAATATTATACTTGGTATTATTATACCTACTATAATCACCCAGGAATGTCCTTAACGCTCGTGACGTCACTCCACGTCGACCAGCCCCCCCCGTTAATAATCATGAGCAGGTGACGTCACTCCACATGGAGCACCCTTCTCATTAATAATCATGAGCAGGTGACGTCACTCCACAACGAACAGCCCCCCCCCCCCCCTCATCTTCTCTATATATATAAAAGGGAAATTTGAGATTATGTGTATGTTCAAAATGTTTAGCATACTTCCCGACATGCAACAAACTTGAAATTTGTCGTGTGGGTACTTTCTAGACTGTACACCTTGCAAAAATTATAAAAATAGACTTGTGTGTTTTGTTTTGGGGGGGGAGGGGCGCAATTATGCATTTATATTTTGCACGGCAAGTGAGCTGTGACGTCACATCTGTCATGTCACCCGTGTGCGGAAGTGTAACGGAGTGTGCCTGCTGATCGCGGGTAAAGTGAAATACAAATGTGTTGCGGGTCTAAGGCGTTCTTCGCTCAGCATTGCTTCATTATTTCAGTCGTTTACTGCCGTACGCACCCTGAAAGTTGTGTGTGTGTCTGCAGAAAGCGTGTGTGTGTGTGGGGGGAGCGGTAGTGTAGTGGTTAGCGCGCTGCGCTACGAACCCGTCGACCCGAGTTTGATTCCTGCTCACGGCCACCACCGGTGACGATTATTTTAACCGGTCCTGGGCCTCCCTAGGTTGTCTCAGCCTCAAACGAGTAACTGGTGTGGTTGTGTGAACATCGCCACTGGGGGGTACAAAGGTGGCCGGGCGTGGTGAATCCAAGTCCCGGGCGAAGCCAGGCAGTAAAGCTAATATTAGTAAATAATATTAATATATTCATTCTAATATATAATTAATAGATGCATTGCACTTCAGTTGAGTGCCTTCCACGCACACTCCCCCAACAACCAGCCGCAACAAGACAATCTCACTTCCAACCATCCACATCAATCGCTCGCCAGGTCAAGTCGTAACTTGCTGTGATGCTTACATCCTTCATGCCGTTTGGCTGTTATCACCGTCTCTCTGAGTTGCATTGCCCTGTGGGATGCCTTTGCATTAACGTGCTGGGTTCTCAATAAAATGGGCACTTCTGCTCCCTTAGCCTCGATGTATCGATGGTTCTTACTGTGGTATGGGGCTGTGTGTCTCAATGGCATGGCCACTGTTGCAGTGGTTCTCTTGCGTTGACGCCCTCGCCTCGTGGAGGCCGCTCTCCGATTTCACATTAACATCATGCTAATCTCTCACATTAACAACACGCTAATATCCCACATTAACATCATGCTAATCTCTCACATTAACAACACGCTAATCTCCCACATTAACACCATGCTAATCTCTCACATTAATATGTTAATCTCTCACATTAACAACACGCTAATCTCTCACATTAACAACACGCTAATCACCCACATTAACATGCTAATCTCTCACATTAACATCATGCTAATCTCTCACATTAACATCACGCTAATATCCCACATTAACATCATGCTAATCTCTCACATTAACATCATGCTAATCTCTCACATTAACATCATGTTAATCTCTCAAATTAACAACACGCTAATATCCCACATTATCATGTTAATCTCTCACATTAACAACATGCTAATCTCTCACATTAACAACTCACTAATCACCCACATTAACATCATGTTAATCTCTCACATTAACAACACGCTAATCTCTCACATTAACATCATGCTAATCTCTCACATTAACATCATGCTAATCTCTCACATTAACATCACGCTAATATCCCAAATTAACATCATGCTAATCTCTCACATTAACATCATGCTAATCTCTCACATTAACAACACGCTAATATCTCACATTAACAACACGCTAATCTCTCACATTAACAACACGCTAATCTCCCACATTAACATCATGCAAATATATCACATTAACAACACGCTAATCTCTCACATTAACATCATGTTAATCTCTCACATTAACAACACGCTAATCTCCCACATTAACATCATGCTAATCTCTCACATTAACAACACGCTAATCTCTCACATTAACATCATGTTAATCTCTCACATTAACAACACGCTAATCTCCCACATTAACATCATGCTAATCTCTCACATTAACAACACGCTAATCCCCCACATTAACATCATGCTAATCCCCCACATTAACATCATGCTAATCTCTCACATTAACATCGCTAGCCCCGCCCACTTCTTTGTGACCCTTGGGCTACACCAAATTCAAACCTTTTAAAACAGTCTGCCTCGGCAGCAGGCCACGCTTTCTCACCTGATGACGGACGCTTGTGTCGCGCCCGAAACGTCGTGATTTATTTTATACCTACGTGACTTTACCGAAAGAACCAAAGAGTAACACTAATAATGGTCCATCATAATAAGATCCACATCCGGTCTATGTGAAGATAAAGGCGCAGTCCTACATGTGCTTGCTCGCGCCACTGCTGATGGAAGGACCTCCACGAGAGGGGGCGCCGCTGTGGCTAGGAGATATTAACTCCCTCGCCTGGTACACAGGAAGTCGTGGGTTCGATCCCGACCCTGACGTCTGCTGCTCTCTCTCTCTCTGTGGGTGCATGGATTTCTTCTACGGGTCCTCCGGTTTTTACCTCCAGGTTTCGAATCAACATCACGCGTTCATAGTATTTGCATACTGCTATAAATGTCGACATTATCATAATGCCGCCTCGTTGAGCCATCATTTGTGATGGCCAGGTCGCTTCTGAAAAAGAGCTATATATAGCTCAGTGGGCCTGAGTTGGACAAATAAAAAAAACATGTTTTAACAACCGCCCTAACCCCCCTCTTCCCCTACCCCCCCGCCACCACGAAGCTACAGGGCTGCCCTACGCCCAGAGCCATCCAGCCACCTTACACTCGACAATCCTCTCTCTCCTCCTCTCTCTCCTTCCCTGCCCGAGGGGGTCTGAACACCACCTCGGCTCAGAATGCGCAGCGCTCCCCGTGGGGGAATGCGTAAGGCGCTGCCACGCTCCGCGTTGCTTGACCTCGCGTGTTTGTGTGACAGCGGAGAGCCGCGTGACAACGCCACCCACGTTTGGGGTGGGGTGGGGTGGGGGTCTCCTCATCCCTCCAGACTCAGCTCGGCAGCCAACGTGGCCGGGACCGTAGCCGAGCGAGTTCGTGGTGGTGGTGTTGTGGCTATGAGATGTTAACTAACCTCGCCTGGTATACAGGAGGTCGTGGATTCGATCCCGACCCTGACGCCTGCTGTATATTTAGAGTTTGCGGTGTCTCTCTCTCTCATCATCATCACGCTGGCTAGGAGATGTTAACTACCTCGCCTGGTATACAGGAGGACGTGGGTTCGATCCCAACCCTGACGCCTGCTGCTCTATATTTGGAGTTTGCGTGTCTCTGTCTCCCCGTGGTCACGTGGATTTGTCTCCGGGTCCACCGGTGTTTCCCTCCACGTTTAGAAACATGCGTTTAGAGTATTTGTCTGCTGCTTCGTTGAGCTATCCATTATGGCCAGGTTGTTTCTGAAAAATAACTATATAGTCAGTGGGCCTCACGTGGTAAAATAAAAAAAACATGGTTCAGTTTTAAGTTTGTTGTTGTTGTCGTTGCTGCTGCTGTTGTTTTGAAGTGCATACTTGCGACGGAGATAACGCTGATAGTGAAGCGTGAGACGATGCATGGATTTGCACTTGATGTGAATCGCGCAGATTCACGTTTGTGCAATATTTCTGACGACTCGTGTGACGCAATTGTTGTTTTTCACGATCATATTTCTGTTTGCTTCATTGCCCCGTAATCTAATTTGAGATTCGTGTTTTGCTTCCTCCCTTGAAATGTCTCGTGACCCGGGTCACTCTTGCACGTGAGACTCATTCAGCCTGTCCTCTTGTGAATTGTCGTCTGGTTTAAACGAAATAACCTCGAACTATATATGTACATATCGAACGAAAATCATGGTCGTTGTTAACTTTGCGTAGCTTCCGTATACAGGTCGGACCGCACTGCTTTTTATCGTGTCCGTCCACCAAAGTCAAAAGTCCTCCCAGTGGGCTCCGCGATGGCTATGAGATGTTAACTACCTCGCTGGGTATGCAGGAGGTTGTGGGTTCGATCCCGACCTTGACGCCTGCTGCTGTATATTGGGAGTTTGCATGTTCTCCGGGACATCCGGGTTTTTCCTGCCAAGTTTAGATACATGCGTTTAGATTGTTTGAGATTATTTGGCTGCTATATATTTTCACGCGGTGAGCCACTTCGTTGAGCTATCATTTTGTGGCTTGTGACAAAGAACGAAGAGCTCCGTGGGCTTTAGCTGGTTAAACAAATCAAACACAAACTTTGTTGAGTTAAGCGCGCAGCTCAGGGTCTCGCGGGTCGCCTGCTACAAGATCTCGCGCACTTAACTTAATACAAGATCCCGCCGTATAGCCTCCCGCAGTCGCAGCAGCAGCAGCTCGCCATGTGACCGAGTTGAACCTTGACTAGTCGACTTGGGTGCGCCAGTAGTCGATTCAGAGTGTTCCACGTGAGTCCACACGGCAATGGCTCTCCGGTGCTGGTGGGGGGTGGAGTTGTTCACACGCCCGGACGATGCCGGTGGCGGTCTCAACACCGAAGGCGTCCGAGTCGATACTCTTTGGTTCTTTCGGTAAAGTCACGTTAGGTATAAATAAAATTTAATTTTAGTAAAATATTTTGTATTTATTTTAAATGCAATTTGCTTTTATTAAAATAAAATTTTACTTGATTAAAATCAAATACAATTTTAAAATAAAATTAAATTTACTTGATTCAAATAAAATACATTTTTTACTTGATTAAAATAAAATGTTCTTTTATTTTAATCAAGTAAAATTTTATTTTAATAAAATAAAATAAAATTGCATTTAAAATAAAACAAATATTTTAATAAAATAAAATAAATATTTTATACCTACGCGACTTTACCGAAAGAACCAAAGAGTATGCATTTCTGCAGTCACGAAAGCTTCAAATCAAGATAGCGTCCGAGTCGTTCCCGCCACGTCACCTCGCAGGGTTGTTATGGGGAGCGGCGATCCCAGTTCGTTTCGCGTTCACGGCCGCCGACACCACTGACGATTATCTGAACCGCTCCCGGGCCCCCCACCGGATCCACTCGGCCTCGAATGAGTACCTGGTGCGATGTGTAAACTTCGCCACTGGGGAAACAAAGGCGGTCGGGCGTGCTGCTGGCCACCCACTCCCTAGTGTTCCGTAGCGGCCTTCATAGGACCTACTCGCTAACAGCACTTGCCCAAACCGGCTGTGAAGGCTATGCGGGGTGGTGGGGGGGGGGGTTCTTTGTCTTTGGTGTTGCTAAGTGCCTGCGGTGGCGGTGTCGTTGTTGAGGATGCTCCCACGTGACCTCGAGGCGTTTGACCGCAGCTGCGTTGGTTGTGTCAGAGGGTCCGTCTCGTGTCTTCGGTGTCTCTTTCGCCGTGGTCGCAGCCTCTCCGCTCGACTCGACGCCGCTCTCTCTCTCTCTCTCCGAGGGTGTCTGGTGACGCTGTGCGGATTATTGGAGGCGGCCTGTAACGATTCGCACCTCGGTCGGCCGCGTACGGCGCGAAACAAGTTCAACGCACAGCACGTGCGTACGTGCGACAGGTGTCATTGAGTGGAGCGTCGATTTTGTTGTTGTTGTTATCCTTTGCCTTTTGCATTGGCCCCAATTGTTCCTAGACTGGACAGTCGCGCTCGAGCGCTGGAGGAGCTCAATGCTCTCGCTTATGATGCCTGGATTGTGGCCGGGTTTGCTTCCCGTGGAGAGTGTGGTCGCTTGCGGATGGTGATGATGATGATGTTGCGGGAGCTCACATTTCCTCTCCTCGACGTAGACCAGGGGATCGGCAAAACGAAAGAACAAGACGAGACAATGTTTTTTTCGAATTTGGTTAAACAAAAAAATAAATGTTTATTTAGATCTATCCAGAGCTGCGTTGCGTGTTAATACGAGCCGGCAGGGTTCCTTGGTACATAACGGTCACGAAGCAGCCGTGAAAGAGCCACGTGCGGCTCCGAAACAGCAGGTTACCGACCTCCCTGGTCTAGAATGAGAGCGTGCGGTCAGGATCGCTCCTAGTTGTCGAAACGGCGGCTGGTGCAGCCACCGCACTCACCACTGCCATCTCCTCCTCGCCCGCTCCTCCTCGCCGCCTGGTGTTTGGCGGTGGTGGCTCAGCCAGCAAGAAAAACAAAAGACCCGACGGCTCCTACTCCCTGCCCTCGACCCCCAGCTACGAACAGGCCTATCTCAACCCCTATCACTACCCCTATCACTACCCCTGTCACTATCACTACCACTACCCCTATCATGACACCTATCACGACCCCTATCACGACCCCTATCAATACCCCTATCACATCCCCTATCACTACCCCTAGCACTACCCCTAGCACTACCCCTAACACTACCCCTATCACTACCCCTACCCTTCCTGAACCACTCCTGTCGGTTCTCCTGTCACCATAACTACACCACCACCGCTACTTGTAATAACAACCCCACTACTCATTATCCCAACCACCATCATCTTACGTACGATTGTTTAATTGATGTAAAGCACCTGGGAATGATGCGCTATTCTAAATCTATATAAGATGAGATTTTATAAATTGCAGCGCGCACGTTCTTTGCACGTGACTGTCGATGGGTCCTACCCTCCAGCCAGCAAAACTTTTTTTCTTTCAAATATAGTATAAGGAATGATAATCACCTGCACGAAATATAATGGACTTACCCTCGCCAAAGGAATGTGAATCGCCACCCGCTGACTTTAGAGGCTACAACATAAACAGAAGATGAACAACCTGCCTCGCCTCGCTCATTTGAAAGAGGAAGGTGACGGAATGACTAATCCACGTTTGTGTTTAATGGACCTATGGGGCCCACCCCTCGCTGTAGGCACAAAGACAAAGATCCCCCGTATAGCCTTAACAGACTCTTGGGGCACACGCGCACACAAAGATCAACACAAAGATCAACACACAAAGATTCCCCTTATAGCCTTAACAGACTGTAGGGGCAAGTGCTGTTAGCGAGCAACTATGAATGCCGGAACGGTACCACGAGGGGGTGGGTGGCCAGCACCATGCCCGACCGCCTTTGTCTCCCCAGTGGCGATGTTTACACACCGCACCATGTACTCATTTGCGGCCACGTCGACCTAGGGAAGGCCCAGGACCGGTTCAGATAATCGTCACCGGTGTTGGCCGTGAGCATTCATAGCGTAGCGCGCCAACCGCTACACCACCGCTCCCCACCACGCGAAGACACACACAACGCGAAGACACACACAACGCGAAGACACACAACAACACACAACAACACACACCAATATATCCCCGTAAATCGGACCGGTCAGATGGAGATAAATCCACGCGATGCGGGTTGGGACGTGAGCCAAATGAGCGCAGGTGATGCAGATGTTGTGGATATCGTTTTGAAGAAGAAGAAGAAGAAAAATAAGCCAGCCAGACTGGTTTTTGAGTACCCGGTTTCCTATATAAGGGGGCACACGCGGACAACGGGCAAGGCGAGTAAGGGCTATCGTGCAGACCGCACGCATGATCAACAGCGAGTGCGTGCGTGTGTGTGGGTGTGTGCCTTCGTTGGTGCTCGCTGCATAACAGCACTTGCCCCAACAGTCTGTTAAAGGCTGTACGGGGGTGTGTGTGTGTGAAAATATATATATCTGACATAACAAATTGAACTCATCAAAGTTGCGCGTAATTGAGTCTTAAAATTGAAGTGGGCGAGTCCGTTAATCTTTGTTTTTACAAAAACATCATCTCTACGTATAAACACATAGAGCCGCGTTCGTACGCACACGTACACAGCCACACTATACACTCAGACGCATATGTAAATATACATACACCAACACACCCACAGACATAATATACATATTCGCGTATGCAGTCACAAGCATACACATATATGCAAACGCATAGGGACGCGTACCCAATCACACACATGCACACATTTACACACATTTACACACATTTACGCACCTTCAAATACACGCGCGTTGTGAGACCATCGCTGTGAGAAGTTTCAAATCACGGCTACACAAGCAATTACACAACCACGCAATCACACGCAGCCGCATAACCACACACAATCACACGCAACCACGAGCAATCACGCAGAGCCGCACAGCCACACGGCCGCGTAACCGCACGCAGATCGCGATTGCGCGCGACCACACGCGATCCGAATCATGGGGATTAATCCGACCATGTACAGGATCCGCTTGCCGGCGCTCGCGATCTTCTTCCAGTTCAGCATGATCGTGCTCTTTGGGGTGTTCGTACGCTACAACGACTTCTCGGACCCCACTCTGTCTTACGAGAAGAACCTGACGGGAGAAGGAGTCGCCAAGAACGAATTCTACTTCAGATACCCAAGTAAGCCTCGTCCTCAACTCGGTGGTGGGAGGAGGGGGGGGGGGGGGTCATCGCCCCTTCTGATGTAGAAGTTTGCGGTCTTACGACTCTTGTCATCCGCTCCATCTTCTGTGGCGTCTCCATATTGCGCCGCTACGAAGGAGGGCCTTTCCCCGAACCGTCGGTTACTTTTCTTACACGCAGATAGATTCTGTGTTATGAAGGGCCATTGACTGAAACGTCGCCTATTGAGATCCAGAAAGCATTCTATTTTACGAAGGTTAATTGCCTGAAACGTCGCCTATTGAGAGCCAGAGAGCCTCTGTGCTATAAAGAAGGGCCATTGCCCGAACCGTCGATTATATTAATAGTTTATACTCTTTGGTTCTTTCGGTAAAGTCACGTAGGTAGAAATAATAAACACATTTTATTTTTGTTTTATTTCAATTTGTTTTATTTTATTTCTACCTACGTCACTTTACCGAAAGAACCAAAGAGTATGGATTCCTGCAGTCACGAAAGCTTCAAATCAAGATTCATAATAGTTTACTTTAAAGGGCCGTGTCATTGAGCAGCGTGTTATAGTTTCTACCGTCTGTGTTTGGTCAGCAGTGCCAGGTGGGTTATCACGATGTTGGTTTAAACTATTCTTAAACTAAGCTTAACACGTGGGCTTTCGCGACCAGTATTATTCATATTAATGAATAATGTGTCGCAACCCTCCACCACCCGACACGGCCAATCAGTAAGAAATGTGTCACGTTAACAAAACTTCTTCAGCCCACCGGTGTGTTTGAAGAGTGAATCCACAACATTTAGAATATGAGTACGACGTTTGGCTGGTAATTACATCCAGCAACTTTGGGCGATTTGCCAGAATAGTGAAGCCCTCCACCTGCTTCCGGTGTTAAATAGCGCAGCAAGACGACGTCATCATTGAACCCCATCAGGTTTCGAGATCAGAGGCGGGGGGTAATGTAATCGTATAATAGATTAGTAATCAGTTACTTAGTATGTGATTCCTTTTTAAGGAATTGTAATGTGTATTGTGTATTACTTAATAATACGCTTCCAGGCTGCGCTAAGTCTAGCTATCAGAACGGTTAAAATGATTGGTATTTCTCTTGATTACGATGGATTATCTCATTAGTCTTGGCCAGTAATAATTAGTTCTGCATAACACTTCAACGTTATCAAAATAAATTGAGTGTCCTTGTTGGCAAGCATGTTCTGCCACTGCCGACAGCTGTGTTTGAGATAATGTAATGTTCCTTTGGTGTTATTTTAGTCTTACGCTAATGTTACGTCCCGTCTGTCCAACATACCGCATAAGCAATTGGTCCGATATACACCTTCTGTTGATAACTTCGGTAATTCATCTTTAGTACAAGACACTAGTTCACATCTCTGAGCCACCGTGGTGGTGATTATAAGAAACACGCTGACTCCGAAAATACAGCAGGGGTCGGGATCGAACCCACGACCTCCTGCAGACCACGCGAGGTGGTTAACATCTCCGAGCCACCGTGGTTTGCATGATGAGTACAGACGATCGCGGGACGGAGTGAGCGGTGCACGTTCCAACGAGGCTCTTCGTGGTCGGCGACAGAGCTGGAATTCCCGAGGCACAGAAGTGGTAGCGGGGGGGGGGGTCTAGCGTGATCGCTCGGAACAATCCCGATGCTAAGGGTGAACGTCAGTCTCACACAAACGTGCAGCACTTTGGTGAAGTTGCCGCTGTCGAAATTGTAATTGTTGCGTTTAAGCGATTCACACGTGCAATTTTTTTGGCATGCATATAACATTTTCACGATTTCATATTTGTATAAATAAAAAAAAAACAAGTTTCCGGAAGACTGCCTTGTAAGGAAACAGAAGAAAGACAAGTAGAGTGGGGTTGAAAAATATATATATATTTAGCTCTGAAGTTAGAGGAAGTGTAATCGAGGTTAAATTCTGTCACATCGACATTTTTTTTCTCTTTAAAAAGTGACCACCAAACGCGTCCGATGTTTTCCACATCGGCAACCCCCCACCCCACCCCACCCAATGTTTCAAGAGCCGCAATGCACACTGGTGAATACGAGACGGTGGGGACCTTTAATAAATAAAGTCACGAAACAATCCTTCATGAGCCGATCCCGGCCGATGGTAAACTGAACTCCCATGGTGAACTGGACTCCCATGGTGAACTGGACTCCCATGGTGAACTGGACTCCCATGGTAAACTGGACTCCCATGGTGAACTTGACTCCCATGGTGAACTGGACTCCCATGGTGAACTGGAGTCCCATGGTGAACTGGACTCCTATGGTGAACTGGACTCCCATGGTGAACTGGACTCCCATGGTGAACTGGACTCCCATGGTAAACTGGACTCCCATGGCGAACTGGACTCCCATGGTAAGCTGGACTCCCATGGTGAACTGGAGTCCCATGGTGAACTGGACTCCCATGGCGAACTGGACTTCCATGGTAAACTGAACTCCCATGGTGAACTTGACTCCCATGGTGAACTGGACTCCCATGGTGAACTGGAGTCCCATGGTGAACTGGACTCCCATGGTGAACTGGACTCCCATGGTAAACTGGACTCCCATGGCGAACTGGACTCCCATGGTAAGCTGGACTCCCATGGTGAACTGGAGTCCCATGGTGAACTGGACTCCCATGGCGAACTGAACTCCCATAGTGAACTGGACTCCCATGATGAACTGGGCTCCCATGGTGAACTGGACTCCCATGGTAAACTGGACTCCCATGATGAACTGGACTCCCATGATGAACTGGGCTCCCATGGTGAACTGGACTCCCATGGTAAACTGGACTCCCATGGTGAAGTGGACTCCCATGATGAACTGGACTCCCATGGTAAACTGGACTCCCATGGTAAGCTGGACTTCCATGGTGAAGTGGACTCCCATGGCGAACTGGACTTCAATGGTCAGCGGTCGCCAACCAAAATAACAAGAAGAGACATTTCCTTTTCTATCAAGAGCCGCGCAGCAGTCCTTAAAGAGCCACACGCGGCTTGGGAGCCATGAGTCGAAGCTGATCACGTGTCTTCAGTTGTGCAATGGTGTCTGCTGCTGTGGGTGTTGTTGTTTCCACTGATGCTGGTGTTGCTTCTGCTGTTGCGACTTCTGTTGCTACTGCTGGTATTGCTATTGATACTGATGCTGGTGTTGCTACTGCTGTTGCGACTGCTGTTGCTACTGTTGTTTCCACTGCTGCTGGTGTTGCTTCTGCTGTTGCTACTGCTGGTGTTGCTACTGCTGTTGCTACTGATGCTGCTGTTGCTACTGCTGTTGCTCCTGCTGGTGTTGCTACTGTTGTTGATACTGATGCTGGTGTTGCTACTGCTGGTGTTGCTACTGCTGTTGCTACTGTTGTTTCCACTGCTGCCGGTGTTGCTTCTGCTGTTGGAACTGATGGTGTTGCTACTGTTGTTGCTACTGCTGCTGCTGTTGCTACTGCTGTTGCTACTGCTGGTGTTGCTACTGTTGTTGCTACTGCTGCTAGTGTTACTACCGCTGTTACGACTGCTGTTGCTACTGTTGTTTCCACTGCTGCTGGTGTTGCTTCTGCTGTTGCTTCTGCTGGTGTTGCTACTGCTGTTGCTACTGATGCTACTGTTGCTACTGCTGTTGCTACTGCTGTTGCTCCTGCTGGTGTTGCTACTGTTGTTGATACTGATGCTGGTGTTGCTACTGCTGGTGTTGCTACTGCAGTTGCTACTGTTGTTTCCACTGCTGCTGGTGTTGCTTCTGCTGTTGCAACTGATGGTGTTGCTACTGCTCTTGCTACTGCTGCTACTGCTGCTGGTGTTGCTACTGCTGTTGCTACTGATGCTGGTGTTGCTACTGCTGTTTCCACTGATTCTGGTGTTGCTACTGCCGCTGCTGCTGCTGGTGTTGCTACTACTGTTGCTACTGCTGCTGGTGTTGCTACTGCTGTTGCTACTGCTGTTAGTACTGCTGCTACTGCTGCTGGTGTTGCTACTGTTGTTGATACCGCTGTTGGTGTTGCTCCTGCCGTTGCTACTGCTGCTGTTGCTGCTGCTGCTGCCTTTTGCTACTGCTGCTTTCTCTGTCGACTCTCGCAGGACTCCTCTCGTGAAAATACATTTTAAATAGGTTGTTTCGTCAGACGTTGTATTTCTGTTCCCCTTTAAATATTTCGCTGCTCGTTTTTTTGTTTGTCAGGCGATGTTCATCGTTTCGCTATCCGGCAAATCACCACAGGCACTGCCCAAATGTGCGCTGTGACGTCACCGCCGCGCGTCGTCATAGCCAGGCAGCCAGCCAGCCTGTAAAACTTTATTATTTTGTTGTTGTACTAATGTAGAACGATAAGCAAGGGCAGGAGCGCAATGACGCGTAAACACACACCCAGCACAGAGCACCAACACGAGCGCCCAGAGACGTTCGAGTGACATTTCGTTTGCGATGCTGCGTTGGCAAATCGGTCCACAGAGCACCGCTGCCAACCGCTGAGCTAATAACAACGCTGCTCCACGAGGGACAAAAAAACGGGCGACGTTTCGGGCAATGACCCTTCTTCATATGCAAGAGAGATTATCGTGTTTTGTTGTTGTTGTTGTTGACGAACAATGCAGTGACCCAGCAACGCTCGGTGGGAGCTTCATTTTAGGTGCGTGCACAGCTCTGCCACGACCGCTTTCGAGGCCACGGTCAACATCCACTGCTGGATGAAGGCCTCCGTTACGCCGTGTCCTGTAGCGGGAGTTGTTTGACCGATCGACCTTCGCCGCCCACTAATACTCAGGAGGAGGAGGTGGTGGGGGGGGGTGTTTGTTGGTTTCGCTCGAATCACTTTTGCCCACTGATGTTATCCGTGGCCCTTGAACGGTTAGCCACAGAAGGGTCGGCGGGTTCGTAACGCACGAGTGCTAACCACTTCGTCACCCATTCACCACGTCCCTCCCCTCCCCTCCGAAGTAAGACGTTACAGAATCAGAAGCCCCCCAATGAAGCTTTGCAGCTCTCTTTCAATGGTGTGTCTCGATCGGCAGACAGACACGGCAGAGAGAGAGAGTTAATGAACACGGCATGAACACGAAATCCGAATCAGAATATGTATTTATACTGGATGAATCCGATGAGCTGTGAAGCTCTTTGTCCATTAGGGATGGATCGGAGCGTTACAAATAACAACCCATACGAAATGAACACGATCGGAGTGCAAAGTATAGCAAAGGTAAACAAATCACTTAAAAGGCCTCGACACAGAGGCGTTGTTTCTCTGTGTGTCTATGTTGTGTGTGTCTCTCTCTCTCTCTTTGTGTGTCTCTGTGTTGTCTCTCTCTGCTTGTGTGTCTGTCTGTGTGTCTCTGTGTCTGTGTTTTGTCTCTTTCTCAAATTTAGCAATCTTTGGAAGAACGTAATCAGCCAGGTAGGGTGTTGACTGTTATGTTATCCGACTCTCTGTGTTGTATTGCATTATATTTCTAAGTTTACTGGGTTTGTTTTCTCTTTCATTTGTACCTGATGATGATTGCTTGTGTTGCAATCGAAACGTCGTATGCTATTATTTAATTTCTCATTTTCTCTTTCTACGTGACTCTACCGAAAGAACCAAAGAGTAATTCCTGCAGTCACGCAAGCTCCAAATCAAGTTTACATCACTTAAAAGAGACGCCTGGTTGACCCAGTTGCATAAACGCGTCGTTGTGTCTCTTTCTCTTCCTCCTCCTCCTCCCTCCACCACCTCCTTTTGATTCCCACTGACACCTCCTCCTCCTCCTCCTCCTCCCCCCTCCTCGTCCTCCTCCCCCAACACCTTCGTCGCCGTGAACCCACCGCAGGTTTCCAGGACGTGCACGTGATGATCTTCATTGGCTTTGGCTTCCTCATGACCTTCCTCAAGCGCTACGGCTTCACGAGTGTGGGGGCCACGTTTTTCCTCGCCACCTTCGGCATCCAGTGGGCCACCCTCATGCAGGGCTGGTTCTGGCACCTGGGTCCGGACGGCAAGATCCGAGTCGGGGTCATCAAGTGAGGGGACACTGCAAACACACAAAACAAAGACAAAGATCCCGCCCCGTATGGCCAGTAACAGACTGTTGGGGCAAGTGCTGTTAGCGAGCACCTATGAAGGTCAGAACGGCACACGATGGGGGTGGGTGGCCAGCACCACGCCCGGCCGCCTTTGTCTCCCCAGTGGCGATGTTTACACACCGCACCAGGTAATTTCTTAAGGCTGAGTCGACCTAGCGGAGGCCCGGGACCACACACATCGGGGTGGGTCGACTCCGCCACCCCTGCACTGATCACCGTGAAGTATGGTCCAACACCCCCCCCCCCCAAAAGCTACACTCGTCTCGGCTCGTTCGTTGCACGTGACATAAGCGGCACGGCGCGGCTTGTGAAGTGGAAACAAAACAACAACCCACGATGGCCTCTCGTGAGCCGGAGCGCGTGGCTGGCTCGGTTGTGCGGTGGCGAAGGAGATGTGCTTCACTGTCTGTGTCTGTGTGTGCACATGGCCTGGCACAAGCGTCGTGGTGACGTCACCGCCACTTAGAATGTCGGTTGTTGTTATTGTTGCGTCTGTGTGTGTCTGTGTGTGTGTGTGTCTGTGTGTGTGTGTGTCTGTGTGTGTGTCTGTGTGTGTGTGTCTGTGTGTGTGTCTGTGTGTGTGTGTCTGTGTGTGTGTGTCTGTGTGTGTGTGTCTGTGTGTGTGTCTCTGTGTGTGTCTGTGTGTGTGTGTCTGTGTGTCTGTGTGTGTGTGTCCCGTGACCTCCTCGTCAGCGAGCCTTCGATAGCACCCCTGCGTGGCCTCAAAGTGCACATAACCTGGCACGAGTGGCGAGTTGTTGTTGGTCTGTTGTTGTTGTGTATGTGAACTCTGATCAAACTCGCAGCGGCGGCTTTTGGCTGCTCGGCCATCGAACACTTTCAGAAGCGCTTCTGCGGCCCCCTGGAACGCTCTTCCTTCCGATATGAGGATGCCACTGGAGCTATGTACTTTTAAATCATCTAGATTGACGAACTAATTTCTTTAGAACTCCTTTTTGTGTTTAGTTTGTTGTCCTTCCCCCGCACTTCCGATGAGTATGGTTGGCTACGGACGGTGCGAAAGAAGTTCATCATACGCTACATACATAGACTCACGCGGAGACCCATAGACTCACGCGGAGACCCATAGACTCACGCGGAGACCCATAGACTCACGCGGAGACCCATAGACTCACGCGGAGACCCATAGACTCGCGCGGAGACGACCCCATAGTTTGTTGTCCTTCCCCGCCACCTCCGATCAGCACGGTTGGCTACGCACGGTGTGAAAGAAGTTCAACGTGCGTGCATATGCAATGCGTACGTGTGTCTCCCGTGTCCGCTCAGCATGATCAACGCCGACTTTTGCGTGGGCTCTGTGCTCATCGCGTTTGGCGCCCTGCTGGGCAAGACCACCCCGGTGCAGCTTCTCTTCATGGCCCTGCCGCAGATCACTCTGTACGCGGTCAACGAGTACATCGTCCTGCACCTCCTCAGGGTGCGAGCTCATCCCACCCTCGTCACCCTCAACTCTCCTCGTTCGCACTCGCTCGCTCGCTCGCTGTTATCGTCATCATCATCACTCCTCGTTCTAACTCGCTCACTCTTATCACCATCATCATCATCACCACCATCATCATCACTCACTCACCCTCCCCAACCGTAAGAGGTGGGTAGGGCTTCATTCAGCAGCCGATTGACGGAGGGCAGTCGAGTTATGTGATTACTCGCGGTCCGTAATGCGGTTGCTTTGCATTGCGTTGCGGCTCAGCGTCAGAGTTCGTTGATGTAGCACGCGCCCGGCCGCGTCATCGTTGTTCAGATGAAGCAGCGGCGAAGCGCCGCCGTTGACGCTCCATCTTGAGAGTTTGCATTGTCCCAGGAGGCCGCCGTAGATGGAGAGATTGTCACTCTCGGACGCGAATCGCTTGACCCCATTGGTTCTCAGCCTACAGGTATCGTGGCCGCCCACTCTTCCACAGCCGGTCAACCACGTGCAACCCTTATTGTTGTTGCGACTTTTGTTGCAGAGGGTGTAGGAATTCCAGGATTGCTATGGCCACACGTTTGCTGCTGTTGTTGCCGTTCATTTCATGGACGGACGACAATAATTTATTGTTGTTGTTATTATTGTTGCAGTCATTCAGTTGTGCAATGACGCTGGTGGTGAAGCAGTGGCACATTCGTTAACGAACCTCCCGTGGACGTGGCCAGGGGAAGGCAGTACAGAAAATGCGTATCGCATGAACGAGACTGAACCCATTTGCTCCATCTGTACGGAATAGAGCGTTGCCCCCTCGCGCGCGTGAGTTTTCTGTGGGTGCTCCGGTTTCCTGCCCGGTGTCACCTGACTATGACACAAAGGAGCGCCGCAGAGCTTGAGAGAATTGTTGACGCCACGTGGCCGCTGCTGTCGCTGTTGCGGTGCAGTGCAACGATGCCGGCGGCTCGATGACCATCCACACGTTCGGCGCGTACTTCGGACTCGCCGTGTCGCGCGTGCTCTACCGCCCGGGACTCAAGGACGGGCACCCCAAGAACGGCTCCGTCTACCACTCGGACGTCTTCGCGATGATCGGTGCGTGCGGTAACTTCTTCTCACTCGTGGCAAAGCGGTTCAGTCTCGTTCCTGCGCAGGATCAGAGCCGTCTCTAGGCTACAGCGATGTTTAACGCACCGCGCCAGGTACTCGTGTGTATGTACGCGGGTTGAACTTCTAATCGCACCCCCCCCGCCCCCCCACGGAGTTAACCGTTGCTCATCGGAGGTGCAGGGGGGGGGCGGTGAAGGACAACAAAACAAGACGCGAGTCGACCTAGGGGAGGCCCAGGACCGGTCCAAGTAATCGCCACTCGGTGTTGATGGCCGTGAGCGGGAAGATCGAACTCGGGTCGCCGGGTTTGTAGCGCAGCAGCGAAGCGCTAACCAGCGAGTGCAAAGACAAAGATCTCCCGTACGGCCTTTAATAGACTGTTGGGGGCAAGTGCTGTCAGCGAGCATCTTGCTGTTAGCCGTGGGCGAGGGCCGAAGCGCGGGTGGCCGGGTTCGGTGAGCGCCGCACGCTAACCACTGCACCCACCGCTCCGTGCACTGCGGCCCACGCACGTACGCACGCGTCGGCGCGATGCAATTTGCGTCACCGCTAATATGCGGGTGGCAAATCCCCCGCCGGCTGTTTACGTTCTGTCTCGAAGATGAATCCCGCCTGCAAACACGGTGCTCGTGCACGCGCGCGACGTGCCGGAGAAGTGTCGCCTCTCCGTTGGGACGCACTGGCGCTGTTTGCTACGGATACATACGACTCACTCGCTGCGATGACGTCCTCCTGCTGCTGCTGCACTAAATCGCTCATTAAACTTATTTTAAGTTGACGGATGTGAAAAAGGAATAGCGCTTGCTCGCCGCGGGGCTTGCGGCGTGGTGCCTGGCTACTTTTTTTACGTAAACCCCACCATCGGAGAGGCAAATCGTTCGCGAACACACACAAACCCACAAACAAACCCACGAACAGACAATTTTTTTTACTTTTATACATATAGATAATATTGGTCGCGAAAGCCGCCTAAGTGTTAAAATCACTCGCTGTGTAGCTACGAAAAAAAACCCCCAAACTATACTTATGCAACTTTTTTTTATTTTACCAGGTAAGGCCACTCACTGAGCTATATATATATTTTTTTTCAGAAGCGACCTGGCCATCACAAATGATAGCCCAACAAAGTGGCTCATTGCGTTGCAATTTATCGCAGACATATACTCCAAACGCATGAAGAGGTGGCTTAGAGTTCTGTGCTTTGAGTCGGCACTGCTGGGAGCTGTTGGGTTCCAGTCTGCGCGTGTGGCCTCCCGTGATTAACCGGCGTTCAAAAAAGCGCAGTGAGTCGGAGGTCTCGCCTCGGTTCTCAACGACTGCCGCGTTAATTTTTTCTCTCGCTTAATTGGCCAGAATTCAATGATGACGACGATGATTTGATTTGCAATGAAGATGGTGCCAATGGTAATGACGACAATGCTGCTGCTGGTGATGATGATGACATGATAATGATGATCATAGCTGCTATTTGCGGATTTGCCTCAATCCACATCAAAGGCAAAGATCCCCCGTGTAGCCTTAATATAATTTTGGGGCAAGTGCTGTTAGCGAGCACCTATGAAGGCCGGCACGGCACACGAGGGGTTGGGTGGCCAACACCACGCCCGGCCGCCTTTGTCTCCCCAGCGGCGATGTTTACACACCGCACCGGGTACTCATTTGAGGCTGAGTCGACCTAAGGGAGGCCCAGGACCGGTTCAGGTAACCGTCACCCGGTGTTGATGGCCGTGAGCGGGAATCGAACTCAGGTACCCGGGTTCGTAGCGCAGCGCTGACCACTACACTACCGCTCCCCGCTCTATGCGCCCCCCCCCACCTTTGCACCCCCCCCCCCCCACTTCCACCCCGTGACTCCCCTCCTGCCCAGCTGATGACCCCGACGTCTGTCCCGCACACAGGGACCATTTTCCTCTTCCTCTTCTGGCCGAGCTTCAACTCCGCCATCTCGGCGGCGGGTAACGACCAGCACCGGGCCTCCATCAACACCTACTACTCGCTCACGGCCTCCGTGGTCGTCACCTACGCCATATCCAGCCTCACCGACAAGCACGGCAAACTCGACATGGTGAGTCGAACCGTGTTCGAGTCGACCTGTGTATGAGTCGATCTGTGTATGAGTCGATCTGTTTATGAGTCGACCTTTTATGAGTCGACCTATGTATTAGTAGATCTGTGTATGAGTCGACCTATGTATTAGCGGACCTGTGTATGAGTCGACCTTGTATTAGTCGACCTGTGTATGAGTCTACCTGTGTATTAGTCGACCTGTGTATGAGTTGATCCGTGTATGAGTCGATCTGTGTATGAGTCGACCTTTTATGAGTCGACCCATGTATTAGTAGATCTGTGTATGAGTCGACCTATGTATTAGCAGACCTGTGTATGAGTCGACCTTGTATTAGTCGACCTGTGTATGAGTCTACCTGTGTATTAGTCGACCTGTGTATGAGTTGATCCGTGTATGAGTCGACCTGTGTATGAGTCGACCTGTGCATGAGTCGACTTTTTATGAGTCGACCTGTGTATGAGTGGCTACGGTGGCGAGATGTTAACTACCTCGTCTAGTATGCAGGAGGTTGTAGGTTCGATACCAACCCCGACGCCTGCTGTATGTTTGGTGCTTGTGTGTCTCGCTCCACGTGGTCACGTGGAGTTGTATCCGAGCACTCCGCTTTTCCCCTCCACATTTAGAATCGACATCCACGCGTTGAGGGTATTTTGGCTGCGATACATTTCTCCGTGATCGTTTGTGGCCACGTCGATTCAGAGAAAGAGCTGTACAGCTCAGTGGGCCGTTAACATCTCGCCACCGCTGAACCCTCAATGCCTCCATGTCGCTGTGCTCCCGTGTCCTCGCGTGTCTCCACGTGTCCTCCTCGTGTTGCCCCCCCCCCTCCCCACCCCCTCCCGGTGTGTCTCAGGTCCACATCCAGAACGCGACGCTGGCGGGAGGGGTTGCGATGGGCACGGCCGGGGAGATGATGGTGACGCCGTACGGTTCGCTCATCGTGGGCTTCATCGCCGGCACCATCTCCACGTTGGGCTTCAAGTATCTCTCTGTGAGTCGTCATCGTCATGAGCAGCAGCAGCAGCAACATCATCGTCAGAAGCATCATCATCGAACTAGATGCCACGATCACCATCAGCAACATTATCAATTCGTTCAAGGTCCATATATTTACGCATTACACCTACGGGCTATTGACCCATGGATCGTGATGATGATATATTATATAAATACAATATAAGTTCCTAACGTTGGACCCCCGGCTCTCCACCACGTGACAGCCTCTGCTGGCCTCCAAGCTCAAGATCCAGGACACGTGCGGCATCCACAACCTGCACGCCATGCCGGGCTTCATCGGTGGCATCGTTGGGGCTGTCACGGCCGCCACCGCCCCCAACAGCGGCACCTACGGCCCTGGGTGAGCGCGCCTCCACTCCCCCAGAGTACACCCAGAGTACACCCAGAGTACACCCAGAGTACACACAGAGTACACTCAGAGTACACTCAGAGTACACCCAGAGTACACCCAGAGTACACACAGAGTACACCCAGAGTACACACAGAGTACACTCAGAGTACACCCAGAGTACACCCAGAGTACACACAGAGTACACCCAGAGTACACTCAGAGTACACACAGAGTACACTCAGAGTACACCCAGAGTACACTCAGAGTACACTCAGAGTACACCCAGAGTACACTCAGAGTACACCCAGAGTACACCCAGAGTACACCCAGAGTACACCCAGAGTACACTCAGAGTACACACAGAGTACACTCAGAGTACACCCAGAGAGTGCAGCAAGATTACACTCAGAGTACACTCAGAGTACACCCAGAGTACACTCAGAGTACACACAGAGTACACTCAGAGTACACCCAGAGAGTGCAGCAAGATTACACTCAGAGTACACTCAGAGAGTGCAGGAAGAGTGCAACCAGATTGAAAACCAGAGTACGCACAGAGCCCACCCAGAGTACCACCAATCGACTCAATTGGGATTACACACAGCGGCAATCATCGCCCCCTCCTGGCAGATGAATGCCCCCACGCAGGACGGGTACTGAAGCACCTTGTGCTGCACAAAGACGGCTGCCACTTGGGGGGGGGGGGGGGTGCCCTTTAAAATGTTGGATGCGAGATGTGATGGAAGCCACTTATTGCGTGCAAAGTGCACCAGCATAAAGGGCAAATCATCATCACCATTATCAACCGGAGTATAGCCAGAGACGACTAAAGCTACGCATGCATCAGGTAGGTGAGGATGGGTGAGGGTCGGCGAGTGTTGGGTGAAGTGGTGGGTGGGTGAGTGAGGGTAGGAACAGGTGGAGGGATGAGTGAGTGAGTGTGTGAGTGAGGTTACGTCACGTCGAGTTAAGTCCAGGTTAAGAAAACGTGTGAGATTGACATGTGTTGCTGTTTTGTCGTTTACAGGCTCACCGATACCTTCCCTGTCCTCAAGGAATATCCGGACAGGCGAATCGGCGGGTACCAGATGGCTGGCACCATGGTCTCCATGGCGATGGGTCTCGTGGGCGGGACCATCGTAGGTGGGTCACGCCCACGGCGACGAGGCAACGAACACCGCACAGCAGGCCCTCGGCATTCGCGGGTCACTGGTCCCCAAAGAGACGCGAATATCGAACCCGCGAATATCGAATCCTCGATCATTGAATCGGCGCATATTGATGCCATCGAGTGTGGAGGGACGTGGGTGGCTGCGTGCCAATCGACAGCCGTGCGAGCTTGAGGGCCGTGGCAGCGATAGCTGCGCGTGACGCTGCCTCTCGTTGCTGCTGTCTCTGAAAGGCTTCCTCCTGAAGCTGCCGATCTGGGACTCCCCGGAGGACGAGGAGTGCTTCCAGGACGAGTCGTACTGGGAGGTGAGCCGCCAGGGTCGACGAGAGGTCGCCTCGGCCAACGTCGCTCGCGCACTCCCACGCGAGTCGCTCGACCCTCGTGGCAATGTTATTTGCGTCTTGCCGCAAAGTCACGTTAGTTCCATTTAGTTCACAGTTCAATTTATTTGGTATAGCCCTGTGAGCCATTCGGCTCTTGAATCGGGTACAGCCTCAACAAACAAAAAACAAAAACATGAACAAGAAAACATCTTAATGTGACTATGTGACTGTGCAAACAGAAAATCCAGGAAAAAAACACATCAAAATATTCCTGAAATAGCACCGTACACCAACGCTGTGTGCAAAAATCCCGGTGGGATGCAAGTCAAACAACAACAACAACAAAACAACTTAGATTAAGGCCATCAGTCTAACTCCGTACTACAATAAACAAAAACATGGCCAAAACAAAAAAACGTTTTCGAAATCACCAAAATAAAAGCCATAAATGCAATGTAACAGTGATCATAGGGACTGTGACCGAATTTTTTTAACAATAAACTACATAAATAACATGTAACACCAAACCCCAGAGCCATATTTTAGGCCACTGAATAGCAGTGGCAGCTAGGGGTGTACGTAGACAGGTTCAAAGAAAATAACGAACAAAAAAAACGACGTCGTTTCGTTTAGCAACACAAAGGAATCGTCTTTTATGCCTCCTGATGACGATCGCTTGTGTTGTGATCGAATCGTCATGGTTTTTTTTTTATTTGCTTTGAACCTATCTGCGTGACTTCACCGAAAGATTTGAAGCTTTTCTGACTGCAAGGATCCATACTCTTTGGTTCTATTCGGTAAAGTCACGTAGGTAAAAAATAAAACAACAAAAAATCACGACGTTTCGGCAACAACACAAGTGGCCTTCATCAGGTGAAGGGACCAGACTGTCTCGAGGACAGCGCTGAAGTGAACACAGCCAAGCTCAGACCGCGACCTTTAAGCTGTGTGAGAGGAATTAAGGTGCCTTGACAAAGGAATTAGCATAAAAATTAGCATTTAATTGGCGGACTTAGCATGATGAACGGTGTAGAGGGGGTGAACATGTGCAGGCGTCGTGATTTTTGTTGTTTTATTTTTTACCTACGTGACTTTACCGAATAGAACCAAAGAGTATTTACCGAAAGACCCAAAGGATATGAATTCCTGCAGTCACGAAAGCTTTCAGCCCTCGTGGCAATGTTTTCTCAACCCCCCCCACCCCCTTCGTAATGGTGCCCACCCCCCTTCCCCTCCGCTCCCCCACAAACAAGACCACTGGTCGCCCTCCCGCCCTCCTCACCACCATGTTACTCAGGCCACAATACACAGGGAGACCGCACGTCTACTGCTGCTCGTAGGGATGTATGTACGTACCGCGGTCTCCTCGACGGGTGTCAGTTTCAAGGCCGAATCGTACGGAGCGAGGAGGCTGCCGTCTCTCTAGGGTCACGGCGATTCAGGGCGACCGCCCCGGGCTCCACGCTTTGGGGGGGGGGGGGACCCACGCTTTGACGTTGCGGTGTCAGATGCAATATTGCCGGTTTATGTGGAAAATGTCGGGGGTGGGGAGCGGGGGGGGGGGGGGCACAGTGCGTGATATGCCCTGGCAACCCGATAACCATTACCCCTGGCCACAGGGGTAATGGTTATCGTATGTTGAACGTATGTTGAACTTCTTTCGCACCGAACATAGCCAACCGTAATAATCAGAGGTGCGAGAGCGCTTGGCTCGCAGTCCAGAGGGTTCGAGTCCCGTCTCCCGGCTGGCCAGTTGAAACATTGGGGGTGAATTTTTTGTTTGTTTAATCATTATCCCCTACCGCCTTCTGCCCAACCCCCGGCAGCAGTGTAAATGGGCTCACCGATTAGTCGACGATCGGCGGGGCTCGCGTGCGGTGGAGTAAACTGTGGGTGCGTATTCCAACGTGACCTGGTCAGTTGTGGTGGAGTAGACCAAACGCCCTCTTACAATGGGGGCCCTCTCCGCCAGCAGTGGGGTGGGCATGTCATTTGTTGACGATTTTTATTTTTAGCAGATAAGAGCTACTGAGCTACGTACGCTAAACGCGACTCGTCGTGAATTGGCTGAAAACGTCTTTAAATATAAAGATGCAATGTCGCTTGAGTGGGAACCTCCTGAAAGAGAGAGTCCCACAGCTCAGCGTGGCTTTCCTGGATAACGAAGTAAAGAAAGTCATTCAAACTACCGGGCAAGGCCCACTGAGCGATATATTTCGCTCTTTTTTCAGAATCGACCTGCCCATCACAAATGACGGTGGCTTATCATCACGTGGAAATTTGCAGCAGCTAGATACTCTAAACCAGCGTTCTTCACTGATTTTCAGAGGGGGTGTTGTCACGTGTTGTGTATTGTTGTCACGTGTTGTGTATTGTTGTCACGTGTTGTGTATTGTTGTCACGTGCTGTGTATTGTTGTCACGTGGTGTGTATTGTCGGGGAATGGGGGGACGCACTAAAGGCCGCCAGGGGCCGCCAGTGGCCCGCGGGCCTTGCAACAAAGAACACCGCTCTGAACGCGTGTTCTCTTAATATTCACAGGGGCCGCACCCGTGCCTGTGTTGTGTCGGGAGCGAGTCACCCCAATGTTGTCCGCCTCACGTCGTCCTCCACTCTGCAGGTACCCGGGAGCGACGAGGAGGATCACAGTCCGGCGCCTAAAGACCGCAACAACCAGGACTTCCAGATGACGATCGAGAACTCCAAGGTTGATTCTTAGTGGCAGCGAGAAGCGAGGTGTGGTGTGTGTGTGTGTGTACGTGTGTGTGCGTGTGTGCGTGTTGGTTAGCACGCTGTTCCGGCATCGGCGCATCCACACAACATCATGGATGCATGCCGGGTCCAAGCAAGAACATCTGCTGGACTACATAGTGACGGACCAGCGAATGCGAGCCCATGTCCTTGACACCAGGACCTACCGTGGAGCTGATCTGCCCTCTGACCATCGACTAGTCATCTGTAAGATGCGCCTGCCATTCTTCCACTCCGGTGGTGGGTGTACACCCAGGACCCCATTCCAACCTAAAGTGGCCTGGTCTCAGTTATCTGATGAAAGTTGCAAGCGAGAATTTCATCATCGCTTGCGGCTGGGATTGGCATCGTCCCCGACTCCTCCTGATGTCGAGGGTAAATGGGCGAGGTTTAGGACTGTGACTCATGCAGCTGCAATGGCTGCTTTGGGTACGCGGTCCAGACCTCCCCAGACACCCTGGATGACAGAGGAGTTGTTCAGGATGGTTGAGAAAAAGCGACAGGCCCACTGTCATCGGCTACAGAATCCCACGTCAGAGAATGAGGAGGCTTACCGCAGCCTTCGCTCGGAGGTTCGGAGAGCCGTGAGGCGCTGCAAGGATGGGTGGTGGTCGCGGGTTGCTGAGGAGATGGAGTCTGCCTCAGTGGCCCGTGATCACAAATCTCTATTTAACTCCATCAAAAAAGTAACCTGCAGCGCCACACCTATTACCATCATTAGGGGAAAAAACGGTGATCCAATTTCCGACCCCCAGGAACAGGTTCGCAGATTTGCTGAGCATTTCTGTGAGGTCCTGGGGGAGGGAAAATCCCTCAGCCAGGAAAACATCGCGGCACAAAGTGAGGATGACCCTGCTGAGGCTGCGGTGCCTCTAATATTGGATGAAGTCACCCCCTGTGAGTGGCTGGCTGAGGTGCCATCTGCTGAGGAAGTATTGAAGGCGATCCGGAGTCTGAGACCAGGAAAGGCAGCGGGCAGAGATGATCTCCCAAGCGAAATGCTGAGGGAGGGTGGCGTTTGTGCACAGACTGCCCTATATGACATCATAACAACAGTCTGGACCACTGGACGGGTTCCGCAGGATTGGAAGGATGCCCTGGTGGTCCCCCTTTTTAAGAAGGGGGACCGCACAGACTGTAACAACTACAGGGGCATCTCACTCCTCAGTGTGCCGGGAAAGGTCCTGGCAAGGATTATTCAGCATCGCCTTGCCAGGCACGCTGAGGAGAGGCTTGCGGAGCCCCAATGCGGTTTCAGGAAAGGGCGGTCCTGCACAGATGCCATATTTTCTGTCCGTCTGCTACAGCAGAGGTGTAGGGAATTCCAACAAGACCTACATCTCTGCTTTATTGACCTGGTCAAGGCCTATGATACCATCAGTAGGCCTGGGCTCTGGGTCGTTCTTCGTGCTTTTGGAGTACCTGACCCTCTGCTCACGATCATTAAGGACCTTCATGATGGTGAGCGGGCCCGGGTAAAACTACGTGGCCGGGAGTCAGAGCCATTCCCTGTACACCTTGGGGTGCGACAGGGATGTCCTTTGGCTCCCACATTATTTAACATCTATTTTGACCACGTAGTTTGTGAAGCCTTCAATAGCTGTACCGGGGGAATCTCCATATGGTACAGATATAATGGGAGGCTAATCGATGCCCGGGTGCGGTCAAGGGATGGCTCCCTATTGCTCAACCACGTTATGTATGCTGATGACTTGGTAATAGCTGCTCAGTCAGAGGAGGAGTTGGAGACGCTGCTGCTGAGACTGGAGCATGCCACTAAGAGGTGGGGCCTTACCATCAGCCCCACCAAAACTAAGCACCTGCCTGGGTATTTTGTACCATCGGACACTCCACCACCACAACTCCCAATCGGTGATGGGGCAGTTGTGGAGAGAGTGGAGAGTTTCCCATACCTGGGCAGTGTGCTTATGACTGGCTCCAGTTTAACAGCAGAGGTCTCACTCCGAATCAGTCGAGCGGCAATATCTTTTCATCGGTTGCGTAACGCTGTGTGGAAGCTACCTGGTCTGTCGCTCCGCACTAAGCTTCAGGTCTTCTCGGCCACGGTCATTCCCTCCATTCTCTATGCTTGCGAAACGTGGACCCCCCTAATGGAACATCTTCGCCGGTTAGAAACATTTAGGCTGGCCTGCCTACGATCCATCCTGGGTTTAACCAGACTGGATTGTGTGAGGAGCTCACAAATCCTTGAAAGATCTGGGCAGGGTCCCATCGGTGAGCTCCTCCGGCAGGCAAGGCTGCGATGGCTGGGTCATGTAGCCCGCATGCCCAGCCACCGCATGCCAAAACAGCTTTTGTTTGGCCGGATTGAGGGGGCTAAGCGGGCGCGGCACGGGCTAGAAAAGAGATGGAGTGATGTGGTACAGGAGGACGTGGAGCTGAGTGGACTTGCCGATGACTGGTACCAGCGGTGTCAAGATCGGCCTCTGTGGAGGAGGCTCGTGAAGGATGCTACTGGGCAGTTGGAGGCAGTCGCCCTCCAACAACAACGGAGGGCGGAGGAGCGACGCTCACAACAGCGAGCGGAGCGCCGGGTGGCTAAAGCACAGCAGGTTGGCACAGTAGGGGGCACAGGTGGTGCATCAGCCAGTCATCTCAGTCAGTCGACCCGTGGCACCTGGGTCTGCCCCGTGACCTCCTGCCAGCGGGCGTTCGACACTTCACGTGGCCTCAGGGTGCACATAGCCTGGCACAAGCGTCGTGGTGACGTCACCGCCACTTAGTGGCGAATGGCGGTTGTTGTTGTGTTGGTTAGAAACATTTAGGCTGACCTGCCTACGATCCATCCTGGGTTTAACCAGACTGGATTGTGTGAGGAGCTCACAAATCCTTGAAAGATCTGGGCAGGGTCCCATCGGTGAGCTCCTCCGGCAGGCAAGGCTGCGATGGCTGGGTCATGTAGCCCGCATGCCCAGCCACCGCATGCCGAAACAGCTTTTGTTTGGCCGGATTGAGGGGGCTAAGCGGGCGCGGCACGGGCTAGAGAAGAGATGGAGTGATGTGGTACAGGAGGACGTGGAGCTGAGTGGACTTGCCGATGACTGGTACCAGCGGTGTCAAGATCGGCCTCTGTGGAGGAGGCTCGTGAAGGATGCTACTGGGCAGTTGGAGGCAGTCGCCCTCCAACAACAACGGAGGGCGGAGGAGCGACGCTCACAACAGCGAGCGGAGCGCCGGGTGGCTAAAGCACAGCAGGTTGGCACAGTAGGGGGCACAGGTGGTGCATCAGCCAGTCATCTCAGTCAGTCGACCCGTGGCACCTGGGTCTGCCCCGTGACCTCCTGCCAGCGGGCGTTCGACACTTCACGTGGCCTCAGGGTGCACATAGCCTGGCACAAGCGTCGTGGTGACGTCACCGCCACTTAGTGGCGAATGGCGGTTGTTGTTGTTGTTGTTGTTGGGGGAGTGGTGGTGTAGCGGTTAGCGCGCTGCACTACGAACCTGGAGATCCGGGTTCGATTCCCGCTCACAGAATAACACCACGGTGACGATTATTTGAACCGGTCGTGGGCCTCCCCTAGGTCAACTCAGCCTAAAATGAGTACCTGGTGCGGTGGTGTGTAAACATCGCCACTGGGGAGACAAAGGCGGCTGGGCGTGGTGTTGGCCACCCACTCCCTCGTGTATCGTGCCGGCCTTAATAAGTGCTCGCTAACAGCATTTGCCCCAGCAGTCTGTTAAGGCTATACGGGACATCTTTGTCTGTGTTTTGCGTGTACGTGTGTGTGTGCTCGCTCGCATCGGACTTCATCGGTGCTCGCTAACAGCACTTGCCCCATAGCCTGTTTGAGGCTATACGGGGGATCTTTGTCTCAGTCTTTGCCTGCGTCGACTCAGTGTTAAATGAGTACGTGGAGCGGTATGTAACCATCAGCAACTAGGGAGACAAAGACGGTCGGGCGTGGTGCTGGCAACTCCCCTCCCCCCCCATCTCTTGTGCTGTGCCAGCTGTCATAGGGTGGTCAAAGTTCCCGTGACCTCATTCGCAAGTGAAGGCCGTTTGCCTTCCAACATCGCGGTCCAAGTGTCCACAGTTTTTGTTTTAACTCTCCAATTCTTTTTTTAACTCAATCGGGATTGTGCTGACGGCAATCATCACCCGCCCTACCGCAAACAGAACAGAAATTGGAAGGGACCCTCGGTGAGGATTTGCTGGGTATACAGGTGGAATTTATAACAATGATAATGATGATATAGTCGTAATTAACGAATACATCATATTAATTCAAGGGTTCCCCCCAAGTTGTGCTCTGCACCACCCGCCACTGCACTTCTTCACACGTTTACCACAGTTCCCTGTTCAACATGAAACAAAAAATGTCAGTCGTTGCACGCCTGCACCCGCCTGATGTTTCATACCTATGTGAAGTTTAAAATAAACCGAAGAGAATCATATGATGGTGAAAGGATACAAAAATGCGTTTGTTTAAAGATTGACAATTATATGAACGTTGTTTTGTTTTTTCGTGAGTGGCATTGCCCACTTAACTTGCTTCCTGTGTGCGATCGATCGAGTATCGTTTCTTATCAGCCTGGTGGCAATGCTGCACGTGGCCTGTAAATCCAGCACCGTGGAGGTTAGGGTTAGTGGGATCACCGCACACACAGATGTTGTGAAACTCCCTTCCCGCGGGCGTCGAGGGAGTGCCCAGCTACCCCTGGCTCGCCAGGAGAAAGGAGTGCTGAGCAAGATGATGATGATGATGAGAGAGACACGCAAACTCCAAATATAGAGCAGGCGTCAGAGTTGGGATCGAACCCACAACCTCCTGTATACCAGGCGAGGTAGTTAACATCTCCTAGCCACCGTGTAATACTGTACAGTCACGGCTAACATCAGTGGCTAGTGATGATATCTGAACCCGTCCTGGCTCCTTTCCTCGCCCTCACCAATACACACTCAGCAGTGTGTATTTATGTATTTAACTTGCATCAAGATTTCTGAGTAACAGCCCCCCCCCCCTCCTCCCCCATAACGACAGGCGGTCAGTAACAAGCAGCACTTT